CCCCTCTGTAAATCCATGATTTCAACAAAGCTACCAGAACATTATCCCAGTTTGTAACCATTCTTTTTACCAAAAGATGACTTTACACCTTCAGGGATCCAGACTAACTTTTTGCATTGGTTGCACTAGTGCGCCTAACTTTTTTTTTTTTTTTAGGTGCACCAGGACAAAATTTAGGTGCACCCAAATTTTTCATTGCGTCACCTTTTTATCACTCTCCATAACTTTCATAATGTGAATGATTTTTAAACAAGAACAAGGTGCAAAAGGGGCGCAATGGTTAGGGCGCACGTCCCATGTGTTGAGACTCTCGTCTCAAGCGGTAGGCCCGGGTTCACTTCCACCTGTGGCCCCTTTCCACATGTCATTCCCCGCTCTCTCTCCCTGGTTTCCAACTCTGTCCACTGTCCTCTCTCTACATTAAAGGCACGAAAAGCCCAAAATAAATCTTTAAAATAAAAAAAAAATAAAAAAGATAATAAGGTGCAAGGGTGTCAAAGTCCTACTGGGTCGGGGGTCAGATTTGTTTAAATGAGACCTCAAGTGGGCCGGACTAATTTTGCAGCCATCACTATAATTGAACACATGGATATATATTATGAAGAAAGCGAGTTTCAGGTTTGTTCTTGATGTTTTCATATAAACCAGCAGAATGATGGTGTTTAATTTTTGGAACAGTTCTCGTCCAAGCAGCCCAACATGAACATTTGATGGAGGACGTTTAAGATAAATATAAAGGACTTTAGTCCAGCTCGTCCACAAACTCACAACAAACAAACAAACAAACAAACAAATATGCATGGTGCTCCTCTTCCTGATTAGAAAACCTGCTCAGTGATGAGTGTTCAGTTGTACACATGTTAAGTTGCTCAGTAGCAAAGAATCGATGGTTGTTTCTGAACTGTTCTGAAAGGATTTTGTTTTTTCCTCCACAGTCACAATCATCGGGGGCATTGTCTTCCTGGCGTTCGCCTTGTCTGCGCTCTTCATCAAGCCAGAAGCCTAATTGGACGAAAGACTTTTCAGGTTTTCTCTGTACATAAAAAAAAAAATGTCAAATGTGCTGACGTCGCTGTAGAGAGACTTTAGATTTGATTCTTTAAGTGTCCTCGTCTCCTCACAAGCCTCTAAACCCAGAGTCATTTTCTTCTTCAGAGGTTTGAAAGACCACTCACTCCTGACAGTCTTAACCTGCAGTACACACCAAAGACTCATGGGAGGTGTAGTTTTTTGAATGAAAACTTTGTAATGTTTTATTTAGTGGGATACACTAAGAAACCCTGAGAAGAAAATGTTGAGTTACAGAGGCTAGTGAGGAGAGAAAAACAGGGATGTAGCTCTTAAAGGAGCCGTGTCCTCTTCACCTCGTCACAAGGTGTTTGATTGTTACTGAACTCCGCCCTCCCACTCGTCTCCAGAAGCTTCAGTTGGCCCCGACGTGCAGTACTCCCCTCTCTCTCTCAGTCAGACAATGAGCCTGTTTCATCACTTCAACCCTCTGTCTTTGTTTTTAAATGTTGAGTTTTGTCTGGCTCCCCCTGAGGCCCGGTGACTATGGACCGAAGAGACACCTCAGAATGAGCTGCCAGTTTCCCCCATAATGTAAAACCAAATTATAATGTGAGGGACAAACCGAGGACAGAAGAAGAAGCACATAGAGCAGTGTTTTTAGACATGAACCACTAGAATACCTCCAAGTACAGATTCCTGTTTTGAATATGTGTGTGTGTGAACGCTGAGCAAATAGCAACACCATAACCTACAAAAGGAATCAAATATTTATAAACCTGGTCCTATTTAACACATTTAGCTAAATGAGTTTTTCAGTTTATCAAGTGCTCTCGTAGGTTCCTTCAGCAACACACGTTTTCTGATGTTGATCTTGTTTTTAGTCACTGACAGGCTCATGAGGTTATTATATGTGTTAAAGAAAGGATGTCTTCCTTCTTTTAAAGAGGAAGAACCTTTTTTAAAAGCAGAAATACTGCTTACATCACACTCCTCAAAGCCACCAGACCCTATTTACAAAGTCAGTGATTTAACCTTGAGGGGAGACTAGCTGGTCTCCTGCTGCTTCTGGTTGTGTGTGTCATTGTTTTACGTTAGAGTTTTATAAATTGGTAGTTCAGAACCAACATCTGTTGTAAGGCATGATAACACACAACAACAAAAAAATATATATACACGCTACAGGGCAGCAGAAGACCACAAACTCTTGTGTTCTGCAAAGTGAAATCATGTGAGGTCAAATGACTGTTCCTGTCAAAAGAGTTTGGTGACTTTGAAGAGAGCAAACTTCTATTTATGGTTAAAAAAACATGAAGGTCTATCTCTGTAGGGATCCTTTGTGTAATGTTGTCAGACATTAACGGTGTGAGCCTGTCAGGGAGCAACACAACAACTTATCGTGGATGTGCTTTGATTAGAGTTCCAGCTCTACAGGAGGAGCAGATCTTAAGCTTTTTGTTTACCATAAAACCTCAATTAATAGTCTGGGCTTTAATTTACTTAAGTCTGTTAAATGACCCTGCCCCCTATTTGGGACCGACATCAGTACAAGACAGGTGTTAATGTTCTTTTCAAGCAAACCTCGTGCACATCAAAGATGGGAAGTACCATTAAAACAGTAGATTAGCACCAGAAAGAAAAGTTCACTGTGCACAATGTTAGGATATAAACAAATCAAGTTACAAATCAAAATTAGATTGATCTTTTTAAGACAGTAAAACAACCTGCTGCACAGCTGGCACACATAAGAGCATCATTCTGTCTTTCTTGGACACATGTTGAAATTCATCTTTTTTTTCTCCACATTGAAACTCTGAAAATGAATCAACACTTAATGCAAAGTGCGATCTAATTGAGAAACATGCAGCTACACCAGGTTAGTAAAGGGGGACTGGGCCTTTAATTGGGATGGGCTTTTATTTTGAAGTTTTACAGTATTTGTCATTCAGACACCCAAGATATCTAAAAATAGAGTCCAGATTCCAAATACTACCCTTCATTAAAAACTCACCAGCACCTCTTAAAAAGCTCATTTTGTTAAGTGGATTTTATTGATCGGGGTACTTCTCATATCCTGATCCTGCTGCCAGTATTTCAAATCAATCATAAATCAGACAGAATAAAGGCCAGTACACGTCCTCAGGTTAACTCTGAGTTTGACTCCTCTCTGCTGCTGAAACACAAAATCACAAAACACTACAACAGGTACTGAACAAAAGACGGAAAGAAGTCCAGTGATTGATCCTTTAAGACAAACGTACAGCATGAATATGCGTCACTCCTTTAGCCAGCTGTGTTTGTAGTTACGGTGAGACCTGAACACAGCGGTGTAGTCCACGCCCACGTTTCACTTTTTATTTAAAGTGGTGTCTATTTATTTAGCTCAATGTCTTTCTGTTTTAATGTACTGTAGACTCAGACAGAGGGAGGGGAGGTCACTACAAACAAGACAGCAAATATTTTTATAGGTGATTGTCAATATTTGACGGACTCTTCTCAACTGTGAAATATTTCTGTTTGTGATACAGGTGGGCTGACGTGTGTATATAAATCTCAAACACTCAATAAAAATGTTTCATGTGTTGTCTGATTTCTCAATGAATGATTTCTATCGTCTTCAGCTCAGGAGGCAAAAGAATAAAGGTAACAATAGAACAAAAGTGAACACCATTATGACAAAACATTTAAAAGATAATATTTATCATATTTATTTTCTCTTTAATTTTGGTGTATATTTATGAAATTCGAACAAATATAAAACCATTATTCATCTGGTAGTCTGGTAAGTTTGATTCTTTTGATTTTGGAGAAAGTTAAGAATTAGGTTTTTTTTTTCAAAATGTTTGTGTCTTAAAATCCTGCTTACAGGTCATGATTTACATTTTGTAAATCATCTCTGAATTATGAGGGGGAAGTAAACATTTGCTTTTCTGAACTATTGACCTGAATATAGTTAATTTAGGTGTGATCTGAAACTGACCGGCAGGTGGCAGCAAACGAGAGAAAAGAAACAGAAACACATTGACACTCGAAACAGCGTAACTAATGACTTTGTTTATTGTTCTGAAATGATTAACTGACCATTGATTCAGACGGTAAATAATCTTTTGATTGGTTTTAGTCATGTTAAGAGAAAATCATCTCAGATTTCAGCTCCTTTAAATATTATATCTGGTTTCTCTTCTTTAAACTTAAACTTTCTACCTTTTAGTTTGAGGACAAAAAGACATTTCAGGAGGCCTTCAACACTTTTCACGTCACAGAATTATTAGTTGCAGGTGTTGTTATTAAAAAGCTAAGCTGATCTAATTGATCACTGAGGCAACATGTCAACTCAGAATAAGATGGCCGCTACATTGAATTGAAGTTGAATTATCCATGATCGTCTTTTTAGTACTTGCTGATTGCAGCTTCTAAAACAGCTTTGCTGCTTTTCTCTCCTGTTTTATAACACTGTCAAAATAATATTTTACAATTATTTAAAGAAATGTTCTGCAATGAATAGACCAGCATATCAATAAAGAAAGTCTTGGATTAATCAATAAAAACTATTAATTACAATTAAGACGGCAGGTTTTGAAGATAACACTACTTTTTATTGTAATATCTCAGCAGAGGTTGATGATGTGTTTCAGCAGACTTCCTCCCGTCTCTTCAGAGATGATAAACAGGCTGATCTGTGGGTTTGATATCGTCTGACGGTGAATCTGATCAGATGGTGTAGGAGGCTCACCTGTATCTGCAGATAGATTATTATCACCTCATTGTTCCTAGTTTGACAGAAGATGCTTTTTTTCTTTATTGAAATGTTACAAAGGTGAAATCCAAAAGTGCCTCCTGCTGTGGAGATGAAGTTGTTCAGAGGAGAGCTGCTCTCCTCACTCTGCTGACCCAGATCCTCGTTTAAAGAATGAAGAGATGATCAGACTGCAGATGAAGAACTCGTCTGATCGGCCTCCATGTGAACAAAAACCACTCACACACCACATGGAGATAGGTCTGATAGGTTTGGTTTTATGTTTTGAAAATAATTATAGATTGAATGAAGCCTCTCCAGGGCGCACACAGGCTGATCTCACATTTAGCTGAACCTTCATCGTTCACACTCACAACACTTTATCGTGCAAGAGTTCAGAAATACTTTCTCTCGCTCTAATAATTGTACAAAATTCTGTGAATGGTGGCTTCAAGAATTAAACAAACGGACACGACAAGCAGCATTAACAAAAACATCCCACAGGAGAATGTGTGTGTGTGAGTGTGTGTTGGTGTGTGTGTGTGTGTGTGTGTGTTGGTGTGTGTGTGTGTGTGAAAACAGCGACGTAGCATTTAAGACTTTGTTTTTCTTAGAGAAAACAAACAAAGCTGCAAAGAACAGAAAACACATTTCATCACATGCATTATATAAAATATTAGTTCTTCTTTCTCATATTTACAGAATATATTACACATCATGTTCTGTACAGTAAAAGTTCGATCTGCATCGAATTCTGAAAAATATTTCCCGACCCATCAGTTATTTTTTTTACATTACACAAACGAGAAAACATCCCACACTACACACACACAAACAAACAAACAAACAATCTGGCTGCAGGACGTGAGGCCTGAGAGCTCTGCATAAAATAACTCTGTGTGGGGGGGGGGGGCTGCACACGCACGCACGCACGGGGGTCGTGGCGCCCCGTCTTCTCAGAGAAAAGGCTTCGACCTGGACCTGTAATGGTCGGTTCTGGCTCCTCTGCAGCTCAGGAGTTTTTAGTGCGAACAGAAAACATCAGTGTGTGTGTGTGTGTGTGTGTGTGTGTGTGTGTGTGTGTGTGTGTGTGTGTGTGTGTGTGTGTGTGTGTGTGTGTGTGTGTGTGTGTGTGTGTGTGTGTGGGGGGGGGGTCGCTATGTGAAGAACTCCTCCAGTCCAAGACACACACCACGGTCTCTTAAAAGAGTTCATCGTTCACTGAGGCTGAGCAGCGGAGCGATCAGACAAACTGTCCGTCCTGTGAGGAGCCAACGTCTGTTTCTGCTGCTGAAGTTGTTGATGATTTTGTAGCTGTTGTTGTTGTAATTGTAACTGCTGTTGTTGTTGTTGTAACTGTTGTTGTTGCTGCTGTTGTTGGCTCGTGGCAGTAAAGGTTCCCTGCTGCTGCAGAGAGACGGCCTGCAGGATCAGCTGAGTGGACTGATTCCCATGAAGAAGTCGAGGAGCCTGAAGTGTAAAAACATTTGGACAGAGATTATTATTATTTTTAGAGATTTGTTCATCCACCAAAACTCAACAGAGAAGAACTGACTAGATTTTTTAACTTCTAAATATTGACTACTTTAAACACAGCTGGAAATTAGTTCATTTTTTCTTAATGCTGGATTTTAGTCAAATCTAAGGTTGTCAACATTTTCAGTACATTGATTCTTTAATTTATTTAGGATTTTATTGTAGAGACAGGACAGTGGATGGAGTTGGAAATTGGGGAGCTAGAGAGAGAGAGAGAGTGTGGGGAATGACATGACAGAAAGAAGCCACAGGTCAGATTGGAACCTGGGCCGCCTGCTTTGAGGACTACAGCCTCTGTAACACTCGACCACTGGCACCCCAATAGTTTGATATTTTCAATATGACATGTTTTGAAATGATACAATCTGTGTGTTCTTGTATCTTCAGGGGTCGTATTCACCACGCTAGGTGATTCAGTCTGAATGTTTTATTAGTCACCTGGAGGAACTGTGTCTGCTGCTGGGTCAGAGGAGTCTGTCCCTGCTGCAGCGTTGTGACCTGTGGCTGCGTCTGAACCTGCTGCTGCTCCTGCTGCTGCTGAGGCTGCTGGGAAATTCTGATAGTCTGAGTCTGCCCCTGCTGAGGAGCGAAGGCAGTCACCACCTGGCCCATAAGCATGGTGGTGGGGACCATGACGGCCCCGCACGTCATCTGACCGGTCATTAGCTTAGTGAGCAGCTGAGGAGTGGCAGGGAACCTGCAGTTACCAGAAGAGGACAGGATACAGAGAAAGGTTAGGCTTTTCTCCACTATTGTAACCATGACAACAATAAGAGTTTTAAAACCGAAGTTGCAAACCTGATTTGCGCTCCTCGGCCCTGTGCGAACGTAGCCACAGCGGGGGTGTTGGCTCCAGGATTCTGAGACAGGCTGGTGGCAATCTGGACCATGTTGGTCTGGCTCTGCTGGGGGATCATCATGGTGTTGTAGAGGGACGCAGGAAGTTGATTCTGTTGAGGCTGCAGAGTGACGGACGACCGCTGAGACTGGAAAAACACAGAGAAGAGAAAGGGATCAGATCTACAGGACAGGAAGCTTTGCACTTCTTCAGCCCGTTTGTGTTCCACTCAGAGGCTCAAACATGTTTCAGAAACAGGTTTTTGCGTGAACCCCTCCCTTCCTAACATTAGAACGTTAGCGTCATTGCAAAAGTGCGAAACAACAAACTTTCCAAACCCAAGAAAACTATTTGCATGGCATCCAACGACAAAAAGATAACAAAACAGATGTAACAACAAACAACACATTAGAGAGAAGGAAAACATAGCAACCACGTCAACTTTGAGATGTATAGCATTACATCTTGTTTTCAGATGTTTATTGACACTCGTCTGCTGCTGTGTCTGTCCCTTCTGGTGAAACAGGAAGGGGGGGAGGTTATGGAAAATAGACCTTGGCTAGTTTCTAGTCTCCTGGGCTGGCTACTCAAAGTGCTTTTTACACCGCAGGTCACACCTACCCATTCACACCACAATCACACACTGATAGCAGAGGCTGCTCTGTGAAGTGTCCGTCGATATTAACTGATTAACATGTTCACACATGTCGACATGTGACTGCAGGAGCTGGGGATTGAACACCTGATGAGAGAAGCGCTGCACCACTACTAATCCACAGCCAGTATGGAGACAGGAGGGAAGAGAGGTACAAAGACAGGACCGTTATTCAATGAGCTCTCAGTACAGGAGGTGCTATGCTATTGCTCAAGTTATCCATGATCCATCCACCATGTAGTAACTGAAGTTAAAGGGTCAATTATTGTTTCTCTTTAATAAATAACTGCAGGTAATAAACGATTGATAGATTAATGATTGTTGAATGTTAACATTATCGTTGCACAACGAGATGACATGACAGATGGATCATTAAAGGCTTTATATGTGATTTTTTTGATCCAGTAGATGTCGCCCTTGAGCACCAGCATGAAACCAAAACAACTCTCTCTGCATTGTTGTGTTAGCATGCTAATGCTAGCGATCTTTATTATGTTCGTATCTTCACACTGCATGTAAATTTACCTGAAATGAGCATGATCTAGAAACACAGTTAAGCAGTGAGTACAGTATGTTATTCTTCTTTTCTCTAGTCCCTCAATTAAACAACTTTTATACACGAGGGGAGGAGTCAGCCGGCCGTCTTGGCGATTTAAACAAAGTGAAGATAGGACTCTGAAAACTCTGAAAACATCACAGACAGTGGGACTCGGGTGTTACACCCATTGTAGACAGTCATGACTCACAGAGTTATTTTCAGAGGATATACTTGATTTATATTATATTTAAGAGTGAAAAATCACAAAGCTTTTAAGCTGCAGCTGCAAAAAGAATGAACATTGTAGGAAGTGTTGAATTATTTCACACAGAGTTGATATAAATCAGGAGAAAACATTTCAATGGACTGTCTGACCTGTGAGAGTGCCGTGTTCTGATCCAGTAGCAGTGTTTGCTGCTGGCTCTGGATCTGAATCTGCGTCTGGCTCTGGAAAGGATGGTGCTGCTGTATGTTGTTCTGCAGAGGTCCTGCAGAGACCATCTGACCCTGCATGCTGAGTCCCTGCTGCACAGAGTTCCCCTGACTCAGCTGTACAGAGCTGACGTTCAGTCCTCCTCCGGCTCCTTTCTGCAGGAACGTCTGAAACTCACAGTAACATACTATGACTCTTTCTAAATCGACTACACCTTCAAGCACAAAGATCTGTTCATGAGTTTGTCTGACCTGCAGGCCCTGTCCCTGCACTCTCTGCAGCTCGCCCTGTATCTGTGACAACTCGTCCTGCTGCCTCTGGATGTTTTCTTCGATCAGTCGGGTCCTCTGCTCCAGCTGCTCCTTCAGGTGCTGCATGGCTTCTATCTGACTGGAGATCGACTGAAGAGGACCAACGGCACGGCAGGGACACAGAAGGAAATGAAATAACATCTGATGAGTATCCAGTGAAGAACAAGACGAGTAACTTAAACTAAAGAATAACAGACAGCTGCACAGTCTTTAAAGTGTGGCCTGTCTGAAGTCACCAATTGTCTATTTGAATGAAAATCATCAGAAATAGTCTGAAACATTCATTTAGAAACATATAACTGTTCTGAAATGAAGCAGAAAACCATTGTCTCCACTGTCTTTTTTAAAATCCTGCAAAATGTGGACTACAACCATCAGCACACACACACTTCCAAAGCAGCTAAAATGAGACTTTTTCAGAATCTGCTCCTATGTCGGTAAAGTTCTGAAAAATGATTTAATTAGGGTCTAAAACTAGGAAGATGATTATCTCACCTGGCTGCTGATTTGAACCTGCTGCTGCTGCTGCTGCTGTTGCTGTTGTTGTTGTTGTTGTTGTTGTTGTTGTTGTTGTTGTTGTTGTTGTTGTTGTTGTTGTTGTTGTAGCAGCTGTTGTTGTTGTTGTTGATGTGTTTGTAAAACCATGGATGGAGCCATGTTCTGCCCTGTGTTCTGAGAGCTCATCGACTGCTAATAGAAGAAAATACAGACATCAACAGTTCAACATATACAAAAACAATAATTGCATATTTAATGAGCAGGACTGAAGCTGGTGAAAAATGTTAATTCATTGAAATTGTAACATTATATTCATATATAATTATAACTTTAAGGCATTATGGGTTAACATGTGTGTCTTCCAACAGTTATAGAGAAACTTTCTTCATGAAAACTGTATTTAACAATTTGAAGGTGTTAAAATCAATGTTTTTTGGGGTTAAAGTTGAATAAGGACTCAAGGACTTGTTCGACTTTAAAACCACTCAAATCACGTACAAAGTTAAAAATGATCAGATACCGAACGGTATCCATAAGTATTTTCAGCAGAGGGACAGTAAACACAATCTCAGAGGAATATTTATGTGAAAAAAAACAGCAGTAAGGACCAACATGAAACTACACTGTATTACAACAAAGGGTGTTAATTTATGGAACAGCTGCAGTGATGAAATGAAAACATGTAAAACATTAGGACAGTTTAAACACATTTTCAAGAATAACATATTTAACAAATATAAAATTGAACAGTCAATGGGAAAAATTGAATCAATATCAGTTGTAAGGTCTGTACCGTCTACCAATTAATGTGTGTAATACATTATATCTGTTGCTTTTGTTACTTCATTATCTGTATTATTCAACTTTATTTTTTAAAGCTTAGTCTTGGATTAATTTATTAAGCTAAAAAGATAAAAGGGGTAGGACTGGATAAGTTATTTAACTTCATCCTACACCCTTTTCGAACATGGACTGGTTAAGGAAAACTAAGCCACTACAGAAAGTATGCTTTGACTGCTGTTTGCTTTGTTTATAATGTATATTTTAATTTTATTTTTAAAACATGTTAAAAAAAAAAAAAAAATATATATATATATATATATATATATATATATATAGAGTATTTTAATGTCTCTATTCTGATTTTTTGAATTGATTTAATCTGATTTCTAATATTTAGCAGTTAGATATGTTAGATAAAGGCTTTCTCGTGTCAACCTAAACGATACATAACTTCAGTTTAAAAAAGGATGAAAACAGGTCAGACTTTCTTAAAACTAGAACATTTGGAGGCTGAATGAAAACGTAATGCTAAGAGTAAGAGGACACTCAGAGGGGGTGATGTTGGGATGGAGTAAATGAAATCCCGATGTCAGTCAGAAATGTGACACTCTGTGTTTGTTCTCTCTCTGACCTGACTGCTGATAGACGACCTGCGCTGTGACGTCATGTCCATGGCAGAGGCAGACTGTCGGCCCGGTGTGCTCTGGTCGCCCTGCAGCTTCACCTGAGACACTGACAGGGGAACAGAAACACAATGCTCAGAGTGTGAACAGAGAAAAAGAGAACCAATATAAATGATAAAGAAATCTGTAATATAAGATGATGTTCTTACAGGTTTGGTCAGACACGGCGGTGAGTGTAGATTTACGTGAGCTACGGGACGAGGCGGAGGGCGTCTGGTTGTGGTTGACACGCTCTAACGCCTCCTTCAGGCTCGGCGTGTTCCTTTGAGACTCTGAGCCTGAATCCTGAGACTGCTGAGAGGTGACGGACATAATCAGTGAAGTAAGTGCTACGGATGTCAATGCAAAGATCTGTGACTCAGAGTGTGGTTCAGAAGTCTCACCTTGTCCGCTGTGACCTCAGGCGGCGAGTCGTCCATCCCGAGCTCTCTGCGCTGCTCAGCTCTGACTTCAGCGTAACTGTGGCGCAAAAAACACTTCAATATGCATATATACATTTTTATTATAACTCATTTTTCATTTATTTTATTTATATAATATTTAATATTTATTTATTTTGTTTTCTCGCTACTCCCCACTAAGTCCCGCACTTTAATGCATTACGCTGCCACGAACACATTCACACCTTTCTAACACACTACCTGAACATAAAAATCATTGTCTGTATTGTTGCTCTGTATCTTATGTTTTGCTATTATGTATCTATTTTCTTTCATTATTACTATTTTTTTGTCTTTGTTCATTTGTTCTCGCTTTAGATGTCATGTCTATATATTCTTGTTTCATTTTGTTCACCTTATCACCAATATAAAAAATAAAATAAAAAACACTTCTATATGAAAATAAAAATCCACTTATGAACATATAACATTGTGATTACAGTGAGTGACAGGTTGGTCCCATCAGGTGGAATAAATGGTTCCTTGTACCTGACTACAGTGTGTGTGCAGACGATGAACTCGGGTCTGGAGTTCCACTGATGATACGTGATGTAGTAATGAGTCTGAAGCCAGATCCACTGCTGCCCTTTAGTGAGGAATCTGTAGTAGCAGGACTTTCCCTTCCCGTACTGCATCACTGCGGACACACAGGGAGGACAATCAGGTTACACTCACTGATTGAAACGTGACAAAGAGTCAGCTAAGTGTCAGGAAGGACTCACAGTGCTCGTGACATTTAGCCAGCGTCTCCAGGTCATCCACGTGGTAGTAATCATACCCCGATGTACCCAGGACCTCGAACGGGAGGTAACCTATGATAGGGGGCGCTCTGGACAAACACAAAGAAGGATTTTTATTATTAAAAGAGAGACACTGGGAGACCTCACAAATAAACCTAATAAAAGGTGAAAGAAGTGTTCTGTTATTCCCAAAGGGCAGCTGTTTGATCTCTGCAGAGCTCACTAAAAGAAGGATTTTAAAATCATCACGGGGTCTGGGATCATTTGCTCCCATGTGATTTGATTCCACCGACCCAAACCACCTCAGCACAAAGACTTGTCTGTACCTTTGACTAGTCTCCATGGCCCCAGGTAAAACTTCCTTCAGCTCAGATTCTTGTTCACACCCGTTTGTTTTAAAAGACAACAAGCTAAAACATTAAATTACACCAACTGACAGGTAAAGTCAGGGTTTGATATTTTTGGTGAATGGATCCAGCTGTCTCCACGGTAACAGAGCAACAGTTTCCTCACTGAATGAAAAGAAAACTAATGAAGTAAAGGCTTTAGGGGGTCCCTGACTGACTGCATGTTACCTCACAATATTTTAATTTATTTTTAAATGTTCTCAAAAAGAAATAACTGAATCTTCTAAGTCAAGATTGAAGATTGAACTGGACCTTGAACATCAGTTGTGATGAATAGATTATAAAGAGACATTATTTTTGGAACACTTTAAATTCCAGCTGAAAAAAACAATTCTTCCCTGACACAGACCCCAGGTAGGACAAACTGGCTTCAGCCTGATTTTTTTCTCCTGCATCAAATCTACATGGTAGCAATGCTGTCATGCACACTACACACTTGTATGTTTGTGTGTCTGCGTTGCTCTGAAATACTACGCCTACAAACACTAATTGGCAGTGAAACCATGGCAACTGAAACCATGCTTATTTTGTTGGAGTTGGAGCAGCTTAATCTTCATCAGCAGATAATTATACTGCAAGTGTTGCAAAGAAAAAAACAGACAGCGTAGACTCAACACAGAGGTATAAACTAGGCTTAAGTGAAGGTGGAGTTTGATTTGATTTGAGCCAAACTAGATGCAACTAACTATTCTGAACAAACATTGAACACTGACACAAACAGGAAAACATCACGATTTGAACACAAACTGTACCTGTGGTCCAAGAAGAGAAATTTCCACTCTAAACTGTGTCTGGAGGTGAACTCCTCGTTAGGCTCTTCTACTGTGCACATCTCCTGAGAGGGAAGAAGATATATTTCATCATTATCTTATTTTATCAACAACAATAAAAGGCATACTTTTTAGTTACTGTAATAATCTGTGCCAATGTTTAGTCAATCATGCAGGAAACCAGGCAAGTTTGAAGAACCAGCTTTAAGTTTTTATTGTACTGTTACATTTAAACCACAATTTGATTTGATTTGGTGCAGAAGTTTGGATTTAGTTTTTTGGCTTCTCTTTAAATCAGTTCCAGTAAAGTTACCAGATGCTGCTGAATCATTGTTTGAATTTTTTTCCACATTTAAAAAAAAAAATGAACAGAAGCTTTTTAATTCAGCTGAGGGAGAGATCTCAGAGGTTTTTAATAAAGTAAAACCAGCCAACAGAGACAGCTTGGGAGCCGCACCAGTGAGGTGCCAGAATGAGTCTCTGCATGAGGGTAACTCATCACTGTCCTATTTAAAAACCTCCTTTTACAAACCCTGAAGCATGAAACTAAGTGTGTGTCCACCAGATAAGACTGAGACTGATTCTCACCTTGATGAACTGAGGCTTGGCGAGCCTCACGGTGGCTATGAGACACACTTGCTCCTCGAAGGCGGAGTGAAGCGACCGCTGGATCACTCCGTCAAAACCGTTTCGGTTACAGTTAGGCACTGATGACAGATATGAAAAACGGAAACAGTTAGACCTTACAGCAAAGGAAAACTAACTCAAAGTTCAGACCATCAGGGTGGATTAACTCACCGTTATTGAGGACTTTAAAGTTTCCTATGAACTTCACATACTCGTACACAGGAGGCTCTTTGGGGTCCATCGTCCCTCTGAGCATATGGCAACAGAACTCCAGCTGATTCTTTGCTAAAAAAAAAGGAGAGAATTTGGCAATCATCATGTTAGCACCCATACAAAGTGAAAAACAAAAACAAACAAATAACACCAAACATCGTCACCATGTGTACAACCTATCCCACCAGTTTTATTTGACATCATTTTGATACTATACTGTCCCCATGTTTTTCTTTGTCCTGTTTGCTCATTTACTGATTTTGTCCCTCTTTCTAATTCATTCATTTTATTTACTGACCCTTTTCCTTTTGTTTTCTTTGTTTGTTTTTGTCTAAATCTGCTTGCAAAACTGTATCATACCACAGTTCCCCTCTTGTTTGTATCTCTTTTTTTTATTGTGTGTGTGTGTGTATGCACATTTTGGTGAATTAACGTAAAAAAAAAGAGAGAGAATTGGCTCATGGGATGGCTAAATATTCCAGGAAATAAAATAACACCAAAAAATCAATGAAAATGCTAAAATCTGAATAAAAGATTCTTACTTTTCAGATATTCTGGAGACAGAGTCTCTCCCTCGACGGTGTGAGACGACAGAGCTTTATAAACCTCTGACTGCTCTCCTTTAGGCAGGAAGTTTAACACATTCTGATCCACAAGGTCAGACTGAAACACAGAATATCTTTCATCAATCTTTGAATATGTTTGAATGAATTATTCAAAATGTAGGCCACAGTTTTTACGTATGACATGTGGGTCTTACTTTATAATACAAATACATCGATTTTGTCCCTGACATGCTCAGAGTGTTATTATAAGTGTCTGACAACATTAGAGAAAGAATACCAATAAAGAAATAACTTTTTTTAAACCACAGACAGCTCTCTATACAACGCCACAAAACTCCATTGACAAAAACAGGAATTTCACCTGTACAGGAATACAGGAGATGCGGGTCTAACACTGCCCAGATTGGTTATTTAATTTGAGTTATTAGCCCCATTGAGGCTGCTGATTGTCGTCAGACACGTCAGGCATTTATAGAGCATGTTCCAGCAAGTGCTTCATGAGAGACAATAAAAGAAACATTTCAAAGTTATTTTTTCAAACAATTTAAAATCAAGAGAAGATAAATAACAACAGCAGAATCAAACTTCAAGCTCAGGCAATCTTCTTTTCTTTAAATAACTTCGGTTATTTAAGTCATAGAATAGAGCAGATAAAAAAACTAGAATGTCCTCTTAAATTGACACTATAGAATAGAATAGAATTACTTTATTGATCCCAAACTGGGAAATTGTGGCGTTACAGCAGCAGGTTATCCAAACACACAATATTAGCAAATATACATGATATAATATTAAATACAAAGTAAATAAGCAGTAAAAATATCAAAACTAAGAATGAGAATAAATACAACCAGGATTCAACTCTATACTCACAGGTAAGTGTTCCAGCAGACACGACACACTCTCAGAAGCGTAGATTATATTCCCATCGGTCATGATAGCAAGAAAAAATCCATCCAACGCCTGCCACAAAGAATATAATTACACTCAACTTCCTTCCCCTTCTTCTTGTAATCAAAACAGAAACACACAGAGCTCTTATCTCACCTCCAACATCAGCTGAGTGAACTCTTCATTACTGAGAAAAGGAGGCTTCCAGTCCTGTCTGATCTCTGTCGACTCTGACTGAGCAGCAATTTCTAAACAAGAAGAAGAAAACATGAATCAGCTGAAGAGTTGAACCGGAGATCATCCTCCTGTCAGCTCCTTACCTTTGTGTTTGTGGAGGAAGTCGATGCTCTTCTGTAAGATAGTCGACTTGTCTATCTTGCGAGTGTTTCCGGGCAGCATGGTGCCCAGCTCCTTGATGAGGCCATTGAACTGATCTCTGCGCTTCTTCTCCAGATTGTTACGGGACACGCTGTGGGTTTAGACACAATGTAAATAACATCACTCTTTACACTCATGTTTGGACACTGAATGAAGCTATATGAACAATGTTGTGTCATCGTCAATGTTGTGCCCCTGGAACTCCCTCCCACCACAAATCTGTAATAACGACTCTCTCTCCATTTTCAAATCTCATCTCAAAACACATCTTTTTAAACTGACATATTCAGTCTGATCATTCTCCATCCGGTCTCATAACTCCTTTACATCCTGTACATTTGTGTTTTTTGTGTTTTTGATGTTAATTTTATCATTGTATTGCTACTTTGTTGTTTTTATCTCTGCTCTTTAAGGTGACCTTGAGAGTTTTAAAAGGCGCATTAAATAAAATGTATTATTATTATTATTATTATTATCGTGACTTAAGGAAAACAAATGCACATTTGTGAGGGCACTTGAGCCACTTTGACAAGAAACATAAGAGTTATTATAGAGTTATTGAATCTTAGTCACTTATGTGTGTACAAGGACTTTTGGAAAAGCTTCACTAATCGTCTTCTAAAAGTGCATATTTTTTTATTTCAATGAGCTGAGATCTTTTGTTTGTAGTGTCTGACAACATTAAAGAGAGGATGTCTACGGAGAAAAGCCTTTAAGTGAACGTGTCTCATAAGAACGAAACTGGTTTTATGACAGAGGATGATTTTAATAAGACTGAACGCAGAGTACAGGGGTCTGACCGTTTAGCTTTGTCCTTATCATCCTCTTCATTAAAGCCATCATAGATGCTGCTGTCATCCCTGCAGAGCACACAATAACACATCAGAAGAAGATTATACTATTATACTCTGTATGTTTGGTTTTTAGACTCAGAGAAAAAAGTATTTTTATGTTGTGAAGACAAAATGATGAACAGATATAAATATTAGGTGTTTGACTCACCGGTCAATGCTGGAGGTCATCTTGTTTTCTGTTTAGGGTCGCAGTGTCGGAGACTCAGAGGGGTCTTTTAACCGTGAGGTCGACATCTGTGAAAGAACCTTTTGAGGAGAAAGAGGTAAACATGAAGGGATGCACTGCTCACTGTGACTTCAAAGAGTACGTTAGCTAAACCTTACCTCACTGACAGTAGAGTCAGTCCAGTGAGAGGTTGAGGAGGATGTTTGTGGATGAAGACGGGCTCAGGGTGGACACACTTTTGTGGTGGAGGAGTTAGGAGGAAAATCTGCAAGTTTCATCAATCAGAGGAAGCAGAGGATGTCTTTGATGAGATCTTCTTCTGCTTCATGTGTGAGTGTAACACATCGCAGCAACATCTGCGTCCTGTACAGGGTTAGAAAAACACACAAGACAAGTTGTCATTAGAGAAGTCATTGCAACTACTGATGGTGCATATATACAGTATGTTTTTTTAAAAGATCAAATATTGCCTCATACATGCAGTCGAGGAAGATCCATAGACGCAAATATCTGAATGGAACAGTTTGAGCCAGTCACCTTTGACCTGACTTTATTTTCTGTCTAGCTCAGGTGGAGCCTCGTTAGATTGTCACCTTAAAAAAAAACCCACCTGTTTTGGTCTGTCGTCTAAATATCTGAACCAATTATTTCATTAACAAAATTACAGTCAGAAGCTGTGTGGGAGGTTTTCTCACCATCACAGCTCGTTTGTGATGGTGAGAAAAAGCCTTCAATATTACTCTTCAGTTTACTCGACACACAATTCTATTCATACTGGACATCATGTTATACTAAACTCATTTTAAACTAATAAACAGGTTTTTTTTATTAATATTTGTATTTCAAAAAGACACAAACAAAAAGAAAACAAGAAAAACTAACTGTACATGGACACTAAAAATAAGAATACACAAGTTTACAAACAGGCATATCCACATGCATAGGTAAATATATCAACACTGTACAGTAATATATCAGTAATATACCAGGTAGCACAGACAGGTTTAGCAGATAAGACAGGTTGACAGTGTCGAGGTCAAAACAAAGAGTTGAACACATCTATTAGCAGCCTTACACTGGCTCCAAGTTCAGCACAGAATACCTTATCAAATCCTCTTGTTACTGTTCCATATATACATCACTGAACTATTAAATCTATACAGCACATATGTCATGCCACAGCAGTCATCCGATCTGAGCAGAGGCAATTAATATTTGACTGTATTAAGAAATAATTCACTCCATGCATGCAAAAACATCACTAAACTCATGAATCTACATTTATGTTAGCCTGCTTGTCACCTAATTATATATATAAACTTGAAAAATTAAGGACATAAAACCAGACCAATGATTTGATGTGGTTCATATTTAAATTCACTTTTCTCACAGTTAACTTTAATGGAAAAACACAGGAAACCCCTGTCAGCCCTGACACTATCCTTTAAGACTGAAAATAAAACAAATAGAGGAATTCAACCCAGAGTGTTTACACATTTATTTTTAGACAGGCAGAGAAAACAATGACAGTGAAAGGAGGTTTGGCCTGTTAATGTTCAGGTATGTAGTCTTCATTTTACTGCTCAGTGCGTTTTGACACAGATAAGCCTCCAGAGAAAGGGCGTCTTATCCCAGGTCACTGTTTTGTCAACACAAGCGGTCAGAGCGGAGAGTTAAAGCAGCGGAGAGTTAAAGGCACACAGAGGTTGTATAACCGTGATGTCATCGCTGCTTCACTGACCTGCTGCCCCAATGACCTACTTTCTTCCTCCTCCACTGATCTGACTTAATCACAGCTCCAAAGGAAACACCTCATGTTCTTAATAATAACACATCTCTACTGGTATATATAAAAAGGTGTGAGCGAGGTCTCTCTCTACTCATCAAACACATTTCATATGTAAAGAAATCGTTTTAAAAGCATCACTGCCTGAAAACTCTTCAGGCATATTGTTCTGTTCACACAGCATTGTTGAATGTCAGTAAGTGTGTGTGTGTGTTGTTTGTGTGAGGGGGTGTGTGCACGCTGATGTAGGGCAACAGAGCTCAGAGGATATGAGTCGCTCTGAAGTGTATCTGTGGCGCCGCTCGTCACGCACCCGACACACCCCGCACCGAGATGCCAGCACAGCAACTGTGCCAACGGGCAGCGCCATGGCAACCCGCCTCGCTGTGTGGAGAGAAAAACAGTCTGACTGAGTATCTCCGAGGCAAGATTCTTCCTCCATCATTACTCTGAGAAATAAAAAGACCTGTGACAGGCTGATCCATGTAGCACTGAAGTAACATCATAAAAACATGACAGCTGGGGTGAGGTTTCCCTTCTGCTCCCTCAGCTCAGACATTCAAATGAAGGGAAACCAAATCCAAAACTGAAACAACGCCCAGTGATCCATTCCCACCAGGGATGCAGCTTGTGTTCCTTTCTGCTTCAGCAGACAGGATAATATGTCTGCATATTAGAGTCCAGCTCTAAAGAAAAACACTTGTTGCTCTGCAGAGACTGAAGCTGCTGTATTGTATTATTTTTGTTATGAGATTAATATCTCATATCTTTAACCTCCATCAGAATATTGCAGCCCTAAATGCAGTATGAGAAGGAGAATGCCTCCTCTTTCCCACAGTTCCTTTTTTTTTTGTTGAAAACATGAATATATTCGCACTGAAGCGTTCCTTTTTGATTTTTGTTTTTTTATGTAGCTGTGTGATTAGGAATGCAAGTAAAATTTGGGAAGCTTCTGTACAATCAATACTTCAGGTCATAAATGAATAAATAACACATGATGAAAAAAAACAAAAAAGATATTTAGACTAAAACAGAAACCACAATCTTCTGATAATCTTGTCACTCACCCACAGATTCTGTATTTAAAAGCAGAAATCTGTTTAAAGAAGGCATCATAGATCGATACGTTATTGCTATAATATGTTTAATACAACATTACAATTATCTTTATAGGTACAGTACATCCCACACCCATAGACATGCATAACTTCTTACAATACGATTTAAAACTATTATTATTATTTTGCTAAAAGCAATAAAAAAAGCAACTTTAAAATGATTTGTAAATAAATACAATAATAAATACTAATAAATAATCAAAGTATAGAAATTGCCATCCTTCCATTTTTGAACAGAACTTTATTTAAACATTCTGACAACAGCTTTTGCAGGGTATTTTCCATATTTTATATCAAATTTCTCCTGCCAGACCCCTAGTATTTTTTCAGCAGAAATTCCAAGTGAACTGATGTGAAAGGCAGCAGGATATATTATATATTTATATTTATACGACCATAGACTGCACATGACCAGTACGATCTCTGTGTTTGTAATTAAACTGCTGCTTAATGTTTTCTGTTCTTCTCAAACTCTTCTGATCATATTGCAATTCTGTTGAACTACACACAGCATCCATATGAAGGCAAATGTTGTCATTACAGCGTTGTAAAGCGGACTCTGTTCATCCATCTTGCCTCAGGAGAACCCCCCCCCCCCCCTTCATATACTACCCCGCATGTCATTCCCCCCTCTCTCTCTCTCCCTCATTTCTGACTCTATCCACGGTCCTGTCTTTCTAAAACAGGCATAAAAATAAAGAAATCTTTGATGCAGCTGCATGCCTGGGTAGTCTCTGGCACATTAGTGGAAGAGGAGAATAATTACCATTTAAATACATTTTCATTGAAGATACATAACTTTAGCACCGTTTATTATTCCCCTATAATACCTCAAATTATCAAACAATATCATAATTATTTACCCTTGGTCTGTCTGCAGACAGGATTGTCTGGTACATCTTGTATGACATGGATAGGTACACCCTCATTGTCATGGCAACCCTTGTGTTTGTTTCATTACCTACGTCACACCCTGACACCTGAGAGCAGCAGATTAGAAAACCCTCAAAAGGTCCGAGGTGTCACAACATAGACCACAGCTTTTAGGAGATTTCTAGAAAGTTTCTGCGACTTTAAAACCTTAAACTCAGTGTTACCCTCAACAAATCAGACTCTGCACAGTTGACAAAAAAATTATAAATTGTTGTTTTTTACAGCTGCCTAGAAAGCAGCGGCCTCACTGCCAAGGAGGTCATAAAAGTCAACATCAGTCACGCAACATGATGGACATTTGTGGTGAACAAACGAGCCCTGACTGATCGGAAACTGCCTTATATCACCATCTGTATAATCTTAGAAACCATCAGCTCATCTGATCACGATATCCCTCTGGGAAGGATGCTGAACTTCTCCTATATTCTGGTGTTTCCAGCCATGAGCATTAAATAACTTTGATATGAGCCAGAAAAATAAATTGTCATATATTAGTTACATATTACTCCTTTATGTTTACTGAAATAACAACTTTATGATGCAGAATTATCAAAAGTAACAAGTCAAGCGTTGTCAGGTCGATCACGTAAATCAAGTAAACACATTTTAAAATTGTTTGTTTGTTGAGTTTCAGATCATGAGGTAAACGTATGTTGGAGTAATCCCAGGCTAAGTCTGAAGAGTGTGCTAAACAGCTTGTTCTGCAAATCACGCAATAGTTCCCCAATATTAAACCAACCACCTTTAAGTAAGCCGTTTGGACCTCTTCTGTAGGATCTCTTCTCCCTCCACCGGTAGCCCTGGTAGCCCTGAGCTAATAAGAAATAAGTTGGAATGTAGGGAAGGGGCGACTTAAAGAGACAGCAGCTGAAACAAACCAGTTTTTTTTAACTGTAAATCAGGCAATGCTACTCTCTGGGTTTAACAAAGTGACTATAATGAAAGTAGAATATGGGATGTTTATGTAGTGTCACTAAAGAAGAAATGATTCAACTAGAACAGATTGTTGGCCGCATTATCTGTTTATAGTCATGTTTGGATTGTGCTCTGCCACCTTTGCTCCCAATAAGGTTAATAATCCTGCATACACCGAAGAAACATATGAAAGAGTACTTATTCACACATCCTAGTCTGAGGCAGCCTCCTCAAAAAGCCTAAGCTTACAGGATGCTTTCTTATGGATGCTACAGAAGGTGGTTTAATTAACTATTTGATGTTAGCATTAAAATCCACAACATGTTTGTCCACGCTGCCCAGCATACTTCTACACAGACAAACCCTGCAGCCAGCCTGTTAACACAAAAGGACTCTTTGTTTTGCGTTTTTCACTCCACAGCTCTTAAGACAGGAATGTTTGAGAGGTTGGCTGCAGCGGTTGGCAGAGGCCCCCTCGGCTGCTGCTGGCCTCCTGTCCCAGCGGAGCAGGAAGGCAGCCAGGGGCCTCAAACTGAAGCCAAGTGGTTCAGCAAAGTTCGGGGGGGGGGGGCGACAGGCAGCAACACCAGATAAGCAAAGAGTGACTTTAGACTGCAGGAAATGATGAAAATGTGACCCACATGTGACTGACCACCAACACTCAACGGACCCCATGGAGATGCTACTTCAGGGTTGGCCTACAAAAATATGTCATATGGTTTGTTCTCTATAAGCCTGTGCTCTGTTTTTAGCGTATTTCCAGTTTACAAAGCGATGTAAACATTGTATTTTTTTTAAATGTTTGCACTCTGGAACCTGTTTTTAAAAATGTTTGTTTTCATGTAACTAAAACACTGAGGACGTTTAAACTAAATGTGTTCATTTTTCCAAGGAGCATATTTGTCTTCAAGCTGATGTCTAACCTTGAAAACATGCATTTTAAATTTCAAGACTTAGTACTGAGTCGTTTAACACCTGGGTCCTTAACTTGACTTTACTCAATGTGAGTGTACATAATGTACTTAGCATCACACTTAACTATACTGGACAAATGAATGTCTAAAAACACACCCAGCTAACTTTGTCCAGGCTAACATATCACTTTATAGACTGCAGTTTTTCACAGATAAATAGAACATCTCTTTAGTCATAGTTCAGACACGCACTGTAGTGAAGAGTTTTATTTTTACTTCATTGTTTGGATTCCTTATCTGTCCTTGAAAACTGAATGATTGAGTGAAGTTAGAAACATAAACAAGCTTCCTGAACACATCCACTGAACGTATCAATACATGAAATAATTGTTAGTCACAGCTAATGTTGGCCTCGTGTTTGAAAAGAACACAAAATGATTTGTCATTAGATGTCACGCTGCCTACAGGGAAATTTACTAAATGTTTTAAATTGAACATTGCTCAGGTAAAATGGAAACTATGGATAATGTCAGCAAACACACAACAAAGATTACAACTATCTGTTTCTGTCAATCATCAACTCTTTAATACGAGACTAAACCATAAAGACACAACAGGAGCTATTTTTCCAAGAGTGGCTGAAAACTGTCTTAATGCCGAAACAATAGACAGCTGTCCTTCAAAGCAGGCGGAACATAAGATCATAAAACGTATCTAGAATATCTCGCAGCATTGCTAATCTAATTGCTGTGGTCTCGTCATGGTTGAATTAAACTTCTCTGTGAAATGTGATGAACTCTCCCCGGGCACACACACATTACTGAACTGTGATTACTGCATCCTCCGAGCAGTGAAGCCATATAGATGTGTCAGTGCATGAAGAGAAACAACAGACTCTTTCTATCTGATCATGTTCACAAATCAAGCCCATTCTGACTGAGCACAAAGATGGAAAACAACAGTAGATGATGATGGACGTTGCTGCAACGAGGCTACGATGATGACATCATTGAATACTTGTGTAATGGAAAAACTGTAATATCTACTTCTACTGAGGGATGGCGTTAGCTATTGGCCAGAAATGTATTTTCATAGAACATTCTGATATCACAGGGAAGAGGACATTGGACATTTTGGAGACATTTTAATTATTAATTTCAGCTTTTATCATTTAACTAATTAGTGTCATGTCAGCATAATAAGCATATGAATATGAAATTTGTCCTGTTCCAAAAAAACTGTTGTTTTTTTAAGTTTACACCTACTTTTACACCAAGTTTGACCTTCACATTTTACAAACACAGCTGTGTTGATCTGGTCTGTAACCGTTACACTGTTTAACTTCAGATTTTTCTCATGGAATATGAAGATCTGCTGACGGCAGACTTGATCATGTCTGTGATTGGTCGTATACAGCTAACCCCGCCCCTTTGATGTGAACCGCTCACAGGACCTCCAGGTTGATTTGGAACCAACACAGCCTTTTTTATGCGTGAACTTAAATGACGCTCAGGAAGCAAAATAAACTCCTCGGATAACATTTTGCTTTCTACTCAAAACTGTTTTGATTTAAATGACTTCATTAATCCATTAGGGACTTTGTTTAACACAACACATAGAGACTAAGAATGTGTACACAACATACAAGTGCGTGTTCAAATGGTTTTTTTTTTTTTTAAATGCCATAAGTAGGAGTTAGAATGAAAGATGTAATGGAAAGCATCCGGACTGGTTAGGGTATCAGAGTATCAATTAAAAGAAGACTTTGTTGTATTCAAAAATGACATTCACACATAAAAAGTGGTCCAGATTTCACCTGTCTAGCACTTAACTCTGACTTGGTTTAACGCAAACAAGCCCACAGGAAAACACACAGCAACCATGAAATATGAAAACGTATTTACAGAAGGATCCTATCGTTAGAAAAGTCTTGAAATGCTCCAGTGACTCAGGGGAAAACATTTCATTTCCATATTGCTTAGGGGAAAAAAACAATAAACTGCTGATTAAGTATAGAACATTACTGAAATATAAAAGCCATAAAAGCCAATGATTCATTTATTTATTTGCCCAAACGGTCCTCTGTGTCTTACCTTTGGTCTGTGATTGATGGTTAACGTTGTAACAGCTTCACCTGATGACGACGCACCGCTCTGCAGGAAACTCTGAATTCTTCACCTGACAAACACAAAGAGAAAAAACTGCATCAAAAACACTCACTTCACTGAATCACAAACATCTGAGTCACCCAGAGCTTCATAAAACACTGCAGGAACCTGCTCTACACACACACACACACACACACACACACAGCTCTTAAAGCATCAATGGTAACTTGTTTTATTGTCCTAGTTATTCTAATATTCTCTCATAATAAGAAATATAACCAAGAAGACAGCTCGTAGAGGTCATCTTTATAAACTTTATAGTGTGAAGTTTGACTAATGAACCCTCCGCTATCTTCTGCACTTTGAGGTTTACCCTGATGACTTCAGATCACTAATCCCTGTGAGTCTGAACGCAGCCTCAGATTACAAAGACGACATCTGATTATTCTTTGAAATCTTTCTCAGAACTCCACTTTTCAGAGCTGCTAATCTGTTCTTCTTATACTCTCATCTCAACTCTTCCCTCTAGCTGCTTGTTTTGTTAAGTGTCTAAGGTGTTCATACCTCACCTTAGTTCTGCTCGATTATTGGGAAAAATCATAATCACAACTATTTCGATTGATATTGACATCACGATAATTAAACATTAAAACATCTGCACCACATGCATTTATCAAACTTAAAGATTCTTTAAAAAACAAACAATACAATGAATCAGTGATTGTTTTTATAAGTGCATGAATTCTACTTTCATTGAATATCTGGTTGTTTCTCTTTGTTGTATATCCTCGTAGCACTTTGTCTCTTTTTAAAGTGGATGTTGATAAAGTTTTTAATGTAATTAGAGTGGAGGGCTTTTGATTGATTTTCTCTTCATAAGAGCAAAAATCAATAAATCATCTTAATCAGTGTAATGATTCTGTGTTTGTGCTGACCTTTTAGACCTTCAGTGCAATATAAAAGTCATTATAATCTTTTGAACATCAACAATCAGTTTCTACTCTTTGTTCTCCTTTAGATGCACAACAGGCCACGATGTGTCGTTTTCTTGCAAATATTATTATTATTTCTTCTAGCTACTTTCAAATGTTGACATTTCGTAGTGAGGACCAAAATATAATACAGAATACAATCTACTGTTAATGAAGTCAATGAAAAGACATCGTGTTTATTCTAATACAGGTCGCTTCTGACCGACTTGTGGAAGAGTGTAGGGTCCGATCATTTGTGCAGGTAAGGGTTAAAAAAAGAAGCTAATTCATAATTCCTACAGTAAAACTCAGAAACTATCAGTTACAGCTCTGATAGAGCTCAAACCTGCCTGTCACTGTTTTAGGTAAAACCCTCTTTGTCTTGATTGTGCTCCTATCACATAGGCCTAGTGTCTGAAACAGCTTTCGATGGCGCCTCATTTCCATGTAGGTCAATGGAGCTCTTGTTGTCTCATTTATACCAAATCACCTTATTTCCCTTAAATGATGATCTTCCACATGATGGATGCATCATCATTTAGTCATTCAAAATGTCTCATAGTTCAGGGTGCTGGTGGCCAAGTGGTTAGCTTGCACGCCCCCATGTATAGAGGCTGTAATCCTCGAAGGTAGTGGCCTTTGTGCAAAACCAACGTGTGGCTCTGATCCCACATTTCATTCCCCTCTCTCTCTCTCTCTCTGATTTTTGCCTGTTACTTTCTAATGCTTTGTTTTCTGCAATGTTCAGCACTTTGGATGAACTGTGTTGTGTTTAAAATGCTATATAAATAAATAAAGTTGAGTTGATTATTCAACTCTATCTTGCTGTGTGTATCCAATTAAAGGCAAAAAAGCCCAAAATACACCTTAAAGAAACAATAATATAATAATTTCTCATAGTCTAAAGAGACGTCTTCAAACTTCTTTGTTTTTTGTCAAACATACAGTTAAAAGAAACTAAAGACAGAAAAAAAGCAAATGTGAAGATTTTAGAATCTGGAACAATCAGAGCAGACTTTAAATATCATTACATAATAATTAGCTTTAAAAATGACTGACATGTTGAATTTATGAGAACACTTTTTAGGAATTCATACCTAAATTAAGTGTACAGAAATGCACACTTAACTGCTGCCCCACATTGTGCACATGCATTATTAAGCGGGTTTCTACAAGCTTGTAAAAATAAGCATTTCCTTACATAAAGCAGAAAGATTTTTGATGACACAAGATCTAAAAAAATAAAATAAAATCATTCTTATAAAACTGCCGTAAATATGCTGCAGTGTAATAATAAAAATCGGGGGAATTTTACCAGATACAGATTAATCTCCATGATGGTATTTACATGAGGAAGCTGACATAACAATAAACACAGCAAGTAGAAAATATTACGACTTAAAGGGAAAAAAGTAAAGAGATGCACAACCAACAACAAATCTAAAAACAAAACAACATGGAGCGCATATTGATGGCAATAAATAGATGATGCAAACTACTTTGTTTTGTTCTGCATTAAAAAAGTGTATTCTTCCTGGAGAGATATTCAGCCATGAGATCAGTAACCCATTTTCGTGAGTTCAAAAGTTCAACATCAAACATCCTCCGTGTTCGCCTCCTCACCAGCATCTCTGCATCGTCTCTGCACGTACAGAGAAACAACTCCACAGACATGACTCACTTTGCAAGTAATGGAACTTCATTTTGTTCAGTTTGGTCAGTGATGAAGTTTGTTAGGTCACAAAAAGAAAAGACTGCTGACAGGAATCCTCTGAGAGAAAGGTCAGTGTGTGAGGAGGAGGAGGGATTTCTCTCAGTGACACCTTTTCTGTGTTTAGAGCTCAAACTACTTCAACATTTATAACCACAAACACCATTATTACATATTTATATTTGTACATAATCTTCCTGCTTTTCACATTTTCATGATGTTTTTTTTTTATGTCTGGCCATATCACTTGGTGGATAAGGTTCAAGAATGATGCTTGAGTTATTATAAGTCTCACAGCTGTTTTACCCTTAAACACATGAAGAACACATGAAAGGGTGGTGAAGTTACACAGGGTGAATTATTCCTCCATCACAGCTGGATTCAGTTACATCTCTAATTACTTTGGGTCAATATTGTTCTCTTTCATTTAAAAAAAATATGCAATGCAACATTTGGTCATCTAAACAACGACTGACTTTCTTATAAGAAAAGTAAATGCAGAATTGTAAATGTGATACCATTCCTAGATTTACAAGTAATGAGGCCTGAAGAGAATTTGACCAGCTCCAACACACAATGAAGAAAAAGCAAGAAAAAGTATTAACTTCGGCAGGCTGCAGGACAGTGAGCGCTGAGTGCACTCCAAACATTAATTTGTCATTATTATGCATCAATCTTAAGTATGAAATATTTGAATAAATATTTTTACTAGGGCTGACAACAATATCATCTGAGTATTTTAACATTATAATTAAATAACTGTATTTTCTCTTCCTGTCAAACATTTCAAATGTCTGATGACTCATCCTGCACTCACCGTTGTTTGCTCATTATGAGACGAAGTAGAAAGATTTATTGAAGCTAACGATCCAATCGTATGCATCCATACTTTATTTGCCTTCTGTCTTGTAATTGGTTCTATCCTGTTTCAGTATCAATTATCAATTTAAGTAAACTTTTTCTGACCATAATTAATGCCAAAAAATATGGCCAACTGGGTAAGAAATGTGACCTCATTAAGATGCTACAGTGTATGAACCAGAGAGCACCTTGGGATGAGATATTGGAACACTTGGCTGAGTTCATAAACCTAAATGCAAAATCTAAACTACTGTTGCTTTTCTTTAGAAAAAGATTGATTTAATTTCTAAAATGTTTGCTCATTATTAGACGAAGTAGAAAGATTTATTGAAGCTAACGATCCAATCATATGGATCCCCACTTTATGTGCCTTCTGTGTTGTGATTGGTTCTATCCTGTTTCAGTATGAAATATGTCACGACACGGCGGTAGCTACTCTGGAAGCTCTGTTTCATCGTGATGATGATCTGTCTCCTAAACCTAAAAAACTAGATCATGAAAAAGAAGCGGACTCAGAATGTTTTGTACATCTGAGACACTCGTTTAAGCTTGTGTTCATTTTGTGTCTTATATTCTCCACACATTGTAGACAGACTTTTGCACATTGTCTAAATGGCACGAATACTTAAGCATCGTATTTTTGTAACTTCAAACATACACTCTCTCTTTATGTAGATTCAAGGTATTTTGCTTTTGGTAATTTTTGATACTACTATCCATCATTAAAAATCAGATTGTGCCATTTTGAAAGACGGAAGTATGGAAGTATGAAACATTTGGACAAACTTAGTCTAAAGTGAAAGTAAACAGGGTTCAGATGGGACAAACTGAATGATCTGTTAAAACACAGAATCTGTGATGAGAGCAGCTCTGACACATATGATAGACATTAACCAAATTACTTATATATTTATACAAATTAATTATCTTAAGTATTTGAAAGCATTAATGATTTGTCTTGTTTGAATTATGTCCCCTCTCCTGTGTGGCTGAATGGTTTAAATAGTTTTGTGTTTTTCATTAGGTTTTGTTTTGCCTTCATTTTGACTTTTTGTATTTAATTTGTTTTAATTGGGTTTTTTTTAATGGTGGTTTGTTAGTTTAGTTATGTTTCTATTAGTTTTAGTTTTTTTTGTCTCTGTAATATCGTAAATGATTCAGAGTAAGATATCAAGCAACTAATTTAAAAAATACCCAATAGAGTATTTTATAAGGGAAAAAAGCTTTCATTTCTGCAGCCAGCGAGCTCTTCCTAAATGAACTAAGGTGTGTGAGACAGTGTGTGTGTCACTCAGTATGTTTGTGTCAAAGACAAAAAACTAAGGGCATTTTCTCTAATATTTGATTTACTTGTAGTTTTGTAAACACAATAAACTTTCAGTTAGTTGTGTTTTTGATAAAGCCTTTTTTTTTATTTAACAAAAATGTTTTGTACATTTTAGTTTTCGTTAGCCATTTTCAGAATCAGAATAGTTTATTATTTATAAGCGCATGTACACATTCAAGGACTTTGACTTGGTGTTTTTTACAAGTAGCAAGAAATAGAGCAAAAACAGTAAAAGGCTATAAAAGAGCAGTGCTCCTACTGAGAGGGATCTTAAAAAGAATAAGATAGAATATATATATATTAAAAACAAAATAACATATATAGATGGAATAGAAACACAAAATGTACAAAATGTACAAAAGATGCAATGAGGAGCTGAGCAGGTATGTGAATGACTTACAGTGCAAATAACCAATGTGTATGTTTCCACACATTGTGCAGTGTAAACAGAAAAAGATAGGTTAGTGTTTATTAACAATAATAACATTTTATCTCACTGATGTCAGCAGGAAGATAACTATGTTATGATGCTATAGAATTCCTCAAAAATAAAAATATTAATTACACAATAATATGTAGGTCTATTTATGATGTTTTAATTTAAGCCTTGAGGATTACAGAGATTTCAATATGTATTTCACTTAAATGCTGCCAAAGCAAAAAGAATGCATCCTGCAATATGCACTACATGCACAAAGACTAGACGATGTGTAATTGAATGACCTGATTAATGCTTCAGAATGAAATAAAGGCTAAATAATCTTAAGAGATATGATTCTGTGTCACACAGTAGGCTATAATATTGCAATAGGAAATTGTATTGACTCTTTCAAACACCAATCAAGAAAGAGTTTCCATAAATCGTTCCAGCTCTACAGATTCCTGTCAAGTTAACAGATGTGATCAGAGTCACAGCCTGCCTGCAAGTGAGTCAGCTGTCACATATCTCCTCATTATCACCGGTAAAAACACAGATTCATCCTGAAAAGGCAGCACAGGTTGTGCAGGTGACATCTGCACAGTTGTCAGGTGATCTTAAACCTGTAAAACAGTAACAAACGCCGGTACAGCTCACATATCCTCCTGCTGCACGGTGAAGCCGGCCGGCACAGCGGGCAGTGATTTCCACAAGGCTAACGCCACCTAGCTCAATGCTAACATCAATTACAGCCGCAAAAACAACATTTATAGTTTGGCACACTTACTGCGACACATGACACGCACGATGAAGACTTCTTTGTCCGACACCAGAGAGAGCACCGTGTTTTCCCGCTGGTTACAGACTTTGTAAGGTGAAATAAGGCGCATTCAACAACTCGTCCGCAACAATGTTTTGTATGTGTGTCAGCCCACTGCTAGCTGCGGCTAGCCAGACAAGCTAACATCAGCGATGGGAAGTCCGGCTCCTTTCAGTGATCAGAACATTTTACTCAACTAAAATAATCGACTCTTTCGGCTCTTCAGCTCTTTGCTGAGGTACACTCCTGTGTTTTATAAAGCAGGAAAATTAAGTTATTTGTTGACCTTTATTGGTATTTTTACACAAATATCCCTTAAATTATTCAATTACAAACTTCGTTTTATTTCTTTGATACTATTTAACACCTATAGGCTATGGGTGTTAAATAGTTAATTTCACATAGACCGCTTTAAAATACAAAATATTAATACACCGTTTTAAGATGACTTACTTTCAATTTGTGGCAAAAAATAACACGTTTTCTTATCTTTAATTGAACATCAGCATGTGGATTGAAGTAGGATAAAGAGAAAATATGCGTATTGTCTAACAAGATTGACCAATTACTTAATAGCATTGTTAATAAATGTTTTCAGCAACAAATTTAGTTAAATTTGTAATATTAATATAAATTTTTAGTGTTGTCTTGTAGGCTCAATTTTAAAGTGATTCTCCAAGTGAAAGTCCTACAAATCTGGCTTTTTCAATCATTAGCACAAATATTATTTGAGGGCCTGTGTCCACCTGCTGTTTTTTTCTGGCAGAAAAGCATTGGCTGGTGGCTCGGGAGTGATTGGATGAAACACTTGTGTGCTGAGAATAAAAGCACTGCATGTGTGTCCTGTCTCCATGACAACAGTCCAATGACAATGGCCGCTGTTCCACCAACACTGCTCTGTAGCTTTTTTCTGTATGTTTTATATTTCAGATAGTTTATTTCCTTTCCTGGCTATAGGCATCAAATGGAGAATGTTGGTCCTCCTATATTTTCCTGAATGATGAGCTTAATAATGGCCCGAAATCACACATGGAGAATGAGGACACAACACGATAGGTAGCAGACAAAAATATTGGCAATATCAAGTATTTTTAAAAGAGCGCCTGTGACATCAATGGTATAGCTTACTCTAATGATAAGTTGAAAGCACTTGGAGCCACCACACAAAAAAGGGGGAAATTCTCCGGACTGCCACCTGCTGCTGCAATCCAAACTTGGTGTTTGTTGTCTTGTTCATTTTAAGTGAGACTCATTAAGTAAAGTCTCACAGTTCCAGCTAAGAAAAAGTAAAGGAAAAAAACAGCTGTTTAAATGGAGGTGGCTCACCTTGTTCGCTGTAATGAGTCGGATGTTAGAGTCGACTCGTTCTTGAACAACCCATCTCTAACATGCAGCATTAGATAAGAATATGGGTCAGCGGGCCTCCGGCCAGTCCCTGTCACCAAGCTCCATACAAACTGTCTTGTCTGCAGCTCTACATGTGCCAGGAGCACACACACAAAGAGCTGCAGGTAAAAGAGACATACACACACAGGAGTTCACTGGTAGCCTAAAGATGTAACACACTTACCCCGAACAGTGTCTTCTTTCACCGGGATATCCCCGCACACAGAGCCGCTGCCACCACAACGACCGAGTGCGCAGCGCTCATAGAGGCAGACTGCAGGGGGGGACTGGAGCCAAAACGACGGCCTCCTGCTGAACTCCAGATAACACCGAGGCTGCAGGGAGCAGATCGATGCCAGATTTAGTTAGATTACCTGGATCGAACTGCCACACTCAGGTAAAGGTGATATAGACTCTCAGTGGACCGATTTCTTTAGCAGTCACAGCTCTCATGACCATGTAACCTAACTGTCATCTTTTAAAGAAAAATGCTTGTCCAATATAAACTTAAACCCGTTTAGAAGATTTCTTTAAATATATTTTAGGTTTGTTTTAATAGGCTTCTTCTTTGTACGATTAAATATTTTGCACAGACTTTTGTGTTTCATAAAGAATTAATTGTTTAGTTTATTTCTTGAAGAGAACATAAGCCTGTTAGTTCCTTTAATGTCTGTCAAAAAGTCTAGTTTTTGTGTGATTCTTGATTTCTTCACCAGAATGCTGCTCGTTATCATAGCAACAACCAAATTAACTAAAGCTGCAGTACCACGTTCGACCACATTGAGGGAGTCAATGAGCTGATGGCGCTGTTTCGATTTCCATTTGAGAGAGAGAGAGGGGCTAAATAGATGAATTTTGGATATGCAAATGAATTATCAGTAAGAAAAAATGTTAATTGTTAGTATGTAAATATGTTGTTTTCATACTCCTGAAATGTTTACACAGATGTGTTCCACCACCTGTTTAATTATTGATTATGTTTTTTCTTCCGAAAAATATTGTTTTTATGTTTTCCAATCTGCAGAGGTAAGCAAAAACGAAATGTTTTAATTGTCTAATTATTTGCCTGAACATAGTTTTATACTCAATTTTATTATCTACCTGGGAGGATGCAATGAGGAAAGATTAGTCTCAAATATTTGTTCCTTGACTCAGTGTTCTTCCGTGAAACTGTGAACAATCTTCTTGTTTTTAGGTTATATGAATCACATAAAGATCCAAAAATGAATACAAAATGACACATTTGTGTGTGTGTGTGTGTGTGTGTGGGGGGGGGGGGGTTGTGACTGGAAATGAGGCAGCATGTCTGACACCAACACACAGACGATTTTAACCTGTTAAACTTTATCAACCTGTTTTGACCTATGGTGGCGCATATGTTAGATTTTTGTTATTGTTATCAGAAATATCTAACAGCTGAGGAATGTCAACACTGAACAAATCTGCTCCTTTTAGCATTCATCTTCTTATCACATCTTTAAAGGTAACACACACTTTTAAAGGGTAATGAAAACACATTCAAACTAAATCATCCGTTACAATATTACCACTGATTAAATTCATATCTGATTCAAACCACATAAGATATGTAGACACTGAGGACATCTACTGTTGAAAAGAGTCATTACACATTCAGTGAACAAGTGTTTAAATAAGAGATAGGATTATACACATTCAAGTATGTGTCAAAAAATGCCACACACACACAAAATAAAAAAATGTAAATAATGGAGAGAGCCTAAAAACACTGCAAGAATTGAGTCCAACAAAAAGGTTGATTTATGACATTAATACTTATTTGAATGCATTTAAGAGATATTAAACTACATTTATAACCTTATTTTTCCACACTTTGTGTTATTGGTTAGATAGACTTAACATAAATCAAAAGCATGATCGAACACTCCTATTATTGTCCCCAGACGTTTGGGTAAATATAAGCATCATTTCATGGTTAGAGTGTTTTACTGCCTTCAAACCGTACACATGCAGGAGAGCACTAAATAACAAATAAAATGCAATTCTCATTATATCCTAAATATCATTCAAAATGCACTAACTTGTCAAATTTATCAATTTAACTTTGCATAAATATTTGTTTTTAATACTGCACATGTATCAGCATGTATGGATACACCTTTTACTTTTGGTAAAATATTTATTTTGCATTGGCTGAATGGATGTGACGAGTGATGGGTCTGACTACCTCAAGGCTTCATCAGAGCAAAGGGCTTTCATTAGGCTGGAATAAAACAAGTTGTTTTAGTTTGGATTTGTGATGCAAGTGGTCGTCAGTGACAAAATGAGGTTCATTCAATTGGTTTCTATTTCAGTGTCCTAACAGCCCAGGAGCAACATAGTGAGAAGCAGCGCGACACGCTCAGTTTCCAGTCTACGCTTCTCACTCAACAGCGCTTGTTCACTTGTTTTCCAAAGTGGAGATAGTGGTGCAATCATTTCCATGATTGAAATGTTGTGCTTTGACTCGTTTCAAAACAAGAGAAAAACTTTTCCGCAGCTGTCTTATGAAACATTTTTGAAAGCTTCATTGTCTGCTATAGAACAGTATTGAAGGAGGACATTGTTTATTTAAAGCTTTTAATGGGTGATTTGTGTAATTGAGGTGTGGTTGTATTAATACGGCAGAGTTGGCTTCAGGCTGTGGTGGAGGGGCCCCGATGTGATATCTTTTCATGGGGCCCCAGAATCTCTTGACAAAGCCCTGATTTAATGTAACAAATCAAACTTACACAAACACATTAGAGCAGTTTTAATGCAAATGACACACACAAAATAAAATGAGGACAAATAATCGTGTTTTATACATTCAGACATCACTGTACAGCAGAGTTCTGTGGAGCGGATCAGTCGGTCGTGGAGCAGCAGATCAGGTCTCAGGGAGTGTGTGTGTGTGTGTGTGTGTGTGTGTGTGTGTGTGTGTGTGTGTGTGTGTGTGTGTGTGTGTGTGTGTGTGTGTGTGTGTGTGTGTGTGTGTGTGTGTGTGTGTGTGTGTGTGTGTGTTTTCTGTACACTCAGCTTCAGAGGTGAGGACTCTACACACATAAACACACATGATCAGAGGATGATTATAAGAACACACACATCTTTACTTCACAACGTTACCGTAGACTGAGAGCTAAACTAGCCTACAGCTATAGCAGGATTACAAACTCCAACAAGGTGAAAACAGATGGTACTAAAAGAACTACACACAAAGTGCATGTTGGGGACTTTTTCTGAAAGCAATGGAAATCAGACAGGAAGACGATTCAAACCTGAGGGCATATTTCAGATGAACTGTTTTACACCATAACACAGAGGCATTCAATTCACTGTTTTGGTATTTACCTCACATACTGTGACATTATAATACACTGAAAAGGAAAACATTATGCACAAAAGTACAATTAATTCAAAAGAAAAGAAGAAGTAATTCAAATAATTATACCGAAAGCAACGCGTACATGAACTAAATTAAACATACAACAGATATGATATTTTCAGAGCAGTACCAATTCCTCCTAATAACATATTTTTTCATTTTAATTGTATTTATTTAAAAATCTCCTTTCTTTGATGATTTTTGTCTTTAAAAAAGCTATCCCTGCAATGTTTATTTTACAGAATTTAGATAAACACTACCTTTGGATGAGACATTAAATGTGAATATTTTCCCTCACAGAATAATCCTGACTTTATTCAGCTATAAAAAGCAGATTGTGTATTAAAAAACAAGTTCATTTTGGACTTTAAATCTACATAACAGGAAAACTGAGGTTTCGTTCAGTCCCTGAAGAGCATACAAGGTTTCATCAAAATGTGCACAATGGGGCAGTGAGATGCTGAGATGAGATAGAAGTAAAACCTTACATAGTAATGTCCTCATGTACACAACATGCTGCTCATGTGTTATCGTTTTCATTCTATTTTATTGCTGTCAATTGGCTGGGCCCTTGTATCATATTGTGTCTATGGCATCGTGTTGTTTCATGTCGTATATTTGGCCCGGCTCCAATCGGCTTTTGGAGATGAATGAAAAGCTAGTTTATGGTTTGGGTCAAATGCCCTGTGCCCTTTTCAGAAATTATTTATTAATTAATTTCCCTATTCATTCAGTCCGAATGCGTTTTCTCTCTCCTTTGCTGCTGCTGCTGTGTTACTTTTTATTTTTCTTAAAACATGATCATACTCTCTGTATGTCCACATCAGGATTTGTAGTTTCAGAGGGGTAAAGTACGCATTGTTAATTGTAGTATCAAGGCTCCATTAACGCTTTAATGAGTTGATTGACCTAAGGCCGTGTCCCATTACCTGAACTTTTCCCCTTAGGTCTTTCTCAAATTAACTTTATTTAATTTTTTAATTGACATGTTAAGGCTGATGTGTGCCTCTGATTATAACAGTTACTGGACATAATCTTCTTCATCTACTATTGACATTATTCCCATTGGTTCTGTTTTTGAACAGGATAAACTGTGATATAACCTTACACTTAAAAAAGAAGTTCCTTCTCCATCGTCTGTCTTGTCAACGTACTTGTCTGATCAACCAGGGTAACTGTTTTGCTTCCTTATTGGTTAGCTGTTTGAAACCTCAATGGGTGCACTAAAGCTCGCCACACTAGACGATTTTCAAATCTTTACCAGTTTAAAAAATGTGGGGGACCACAGACATATGGACTCTTTTAAACGATTTTTAACATTATAATCCTCCCAACACACACACACTAGAGACTCGGCCAGACCAGGAGATCACACACCGGCTGTTTGTAGAAACCATTTCACAGAAACGAGATCTCGCATAATCTCTCGTGAACAAACATGACTTGGGAAGAAAAACAAATAAATAGGATGAACGTCGTCAGCTGGCTCTCAGTCTGTGTGTTTTGTTTTGCAAAAAAACAACACGGATGAAATCCTGGTTGAGGAGATGGATTATGTGCCACTTTACACACTTTAGAGCGCGAGCTAAGGGTGAGTTGTCAGAGTTTACAAAATCTGGTTAGTGACGCTTCAATGTCTGCTTGCTCTCATATTCTGATTTCTGTATTCTGTCGGATGCAGTCCAATCAGGAATCATTAATATCAAACATGTTGGATATTTACGATTCCTGATCAGACACGATTGAGAGCAGTAACATAATCAAAGTGACACCACACACTTGTGCATTCTTCAGCATCTTTTTGAACTATTCACCACTACACTGTTTCATGTTTAGTCATTGTTGATATAATATTGTACCTGTACATAAGAGAGCACAGTTCACCAAAGTTAAATTCCTTTGTGAGTGTAAGCATACCTGGACAATAAATCTGATTCTGATTCTGATTCTTTGGACAAAAAAAATGGATAAGACACCCGTAGTGCAGATTTTGGGACAAGGCCTTTAACTCAAATCAACTGTTTTGGAAACGGAACTTGGAATTTCCCATCTGAGGGTAACTCAACTGACAGGTGGGGATTGGGCTCAGACTTTGTTGAACCTGCTTTCTGAAATAGGGAGCAGCACGTTTTTATAAAGTATTCATTCAGTTTCCAACCTTTGCCCTGCTTGTGCTAAAGCTCTGAACTTATAACTGCTCAAATATAAAAAAAACTGGGTCATCAGCTGGTGTAAAAGAGCCAAAGCTCAAATATTTCAGAGTTACTCATAGAAACTGCCTTAATGACATGACTGACTTTTGGTTAGAAAAGTACAAAAAAAATAATTTCCTGATCTTTAATTGACAAAGATAAAATATATTTTAAAAGGCTGTCATGAAAGGTGGATTCATTTGTCTTAAGATTTGTGATATTTTCTGATGTCGCCCCCTGCAGGAGGAGAAGGATTTAGACTCTCCATCTCAAATCAAGAATAATGTTAAACTGAAGGTAGAAGTCAGAGGAGGTGTACATGTGAACACCTTTTGATAGTCCACTCCTTATAATAATAATTCTCAGTCCCTTTGGCTTTTAATGATGTAATACATTTATTTAATACGTCAAGATGAAAAAAAGGATTACCTTTATATTTACTCGTATTCTAAGGATCGTCTTCCATTTCGTGGCTGTAAGTAAAACAAAATTCAAACTGCCATTCATTCTGTGTCGGGGGGATTTGATACTTTTCATGTCTTGATATGAAACATGTTCATACCCGATAGAGGAAGTAACCTCTGCTCTGGATTCCTCCAGGCCCCTGAAGCTCGCCCTGCAGAGACAAAAAACACAGAATTTCATTTGATTACATGAAACATTTTGCGTCTTGATTTGACATTTTGCTCTGTGTCTCTTCATCTCTCTTCTGTCAGCACTCGCTCAAAAATGGACGTCTGGATTTTTCAAAACAAACAATTGCTCTGTGTCCACTTTGTGAATGTCAGCCTGCTTGATAGCATTGAGGGATACGTTCACCTGTCAGCTGCACTAATTTTAGACCATAATTACCTTGCAGCCCGGGAAAGAACAACTAATGTGGACTGAGCTCATACACAGAGCGAGGAGCACTGAGCAACACCAAGCAGCATTACTCACATGGAGCCATGGAAAACATACGATCAGACGAAAGCGCACGCCTTTCAGAATCAACATCTGATTCAAACATACAGAAACCAAAGCACTGTTTGTTTTGTGTGCCCTGCAACCGCACATTTCCTGTTCATCCTTTAATGTTCCTCCAGAAAAAGTCTCACAAAATCAGATTTCATGTGCAACAATGATTGTATATATTTGGGCATATGTCTTTGCTTTATCAATAGGTGTGGGGGAGGGCAGTAGGTCAGTCTGTAGGGACTGGGGTTGGGACGCCAGTTCAAGTCCCTGTGCAGACCAAAATATGGAAGTTGGTCTAGTAGCTGGTGAGGTGCCCTTGAGCAAGACACTGAACCCCCCAACTGCTCTGGTGCGCTCCCTTGCATAGCCCCACTCTGACATGAATAATGCATGTCCACAGGTCCTGTTTGAGCATGTGTGTGGTTTGGGCTTTATGTGTGTCTCTCAATAACCAGAATTTACCTCAGGGATTAATTAAGTATTTCAATTAAATAAAATAAAATCTGTGAGATTATTGTCACCAGTGAAAGTGGAGAGCTGGAAAGTCGGTGGTGCATACACACATAAAAAGGAGTTAACAAAGTACACACTAGGACGCAACAGAAGAGGCTGACAAATACAGAAACACGCACAGAGCCAGTCAACACACACACACATAACTAACAGAAACACGCACACAGACGTTTGTATGTTTCTGTTCTTTTTGACACTGAGCAGCACAGAGTTGTAAAACATCCCTCTGTTGCAGCCTCAACGTTGTCTTTTTGATGAATGCATTCATCAGCAGCGACGGAGGAGAAAATCGCTTCACATTTCAAATAAAAACACAATCTGTTTGGACAAGTGAACACACATCTGAGGAAAAAATAAAGGAAAACGAACAAAACAAAGTCAAATGTAATGAAAGCCGACTTATCTCACATAAAGCCTGATGACAGATGATGTAAACATATACTTTTAGTACATCTGCATTGCTCTCTGCATTGTCTCCCATACAAAAAATATGTTTTTCTCGTATTTACTGCATTAAAAAAAGGTGACACAAACCTAGGTTTATCAAAATGACTAACTGCAGTTCAAAACGTTTAAAGCTACTGAGAACGTGTTGGAAAGAATTGATGTAGAACTAGAACGAGAGAGCAATAATTATGAGTATTATGATGATAAAAGAGGAATAATAAGAGACGACACAAGCACTTAAAATAGTAATATGAAGTGAATTTTAAAAGGCTTGCTGAAATAATTTCACAGCATATTAAATATTAAAGAAGCAAATAAAATAATCACAATGGGTTATAAAAAACATGACAAAAAATATATATATTCCACAACATCATTTTTATACTGGTCATAGTTTTAAGTACAAGATAAATACAAGGCTCAACATCTTGTTTCACTGTTTGGAAAGTAATTATTAGATTATTATTATTAGATTACAGTCGTCTACTGCTGTGTTCTTGTTGCTTTGATACATTGTAATATATTCAATTGTACTACCTGTGTTTTAATACATATTTTATCCCAGATTCTTGCCATTGCATTCCTACTTTTCTGCTTTATATCTGTGAAATCAAATAACAAAAAGTTATCTTGTATTTAAGAAATAAAGCAGCATGTGGAGTTAGTCCTGTTTCTGCACTAAATGTAGCTGAGATTAAAAATCTATCTTGCAGATATGAGAAGCAGGGAGATGAGGGTGTTTATATAAAGACTGTGCATCATGTGTTAGTTATCAGATTGCAGTATTTGTTTGCATACACACTTCAGCGTTCATCATCTTTAGCTGAAAATGTGTAGCTTCACGCACTTTGGTTTTGGGGGAAGATGTGCAGAACGATTTTTAATGTCCAACAACAGCTCTAACTAGATTCATTAGCACACAAAAAAGTGACTCCCATTATAATGGTGAAGCAATGTGTGCTGCTTTCTTAGATCAGGGAATAACAATCTCTGTAAAAAGAGATTAAAGAAAGTGTAATAGTACAGATTTATCCTTTTATTTACTTAGCGCCTCCTGTGACAAAACTAAATCTTGTCCTCCAGAGAAATGGAACAGAAAGTGCACATAAGCAAGACAATAAAACAAACAACAAACAATGTCAGGTTTCATCTCATGACACGTCTCTGTGGCTCTAAATGAGCTTTTGATAAAAGGAAATAAAAACGTTTTTCTCACCCGTTTACTTCCTCGCACTTTGAGCTCCTGAGAAGAAAACAAAACGTCACCCTGTGAGTACGCTGGACTTAACCCTCAGGCATCAGTTTAATTTACTACCCTCTTAAGTCACTAAGGACAAAAATGTCCATGCCAAAAAACTGATATAAAAATAGAAGAGATTGATATTTTTTTGCATACATCTCTTAAACATATCCAAGACTGATTTGAAAAAAATCCCCCAGCCACCAAATATTTGTTATATGGAAAATAACTCATTTTTGTGTTGTTTTTTTTCATAAATAACAACAGTGACATCATGTAATCAAACTGGCATTTAAAGGGTTACATTTCTAAAAATGATTGAATGTTTGGTAGTTTTGAGCAGGGCTGGAGTTGTTTAAGAGATGTATGCAGAAAAAAGTAAAAAAAAATAATATCAACTTGTTCTGTTTTTATAGCAGTTTTTTGGAAGTGGACATTTTTGTCCTTAGTGAATTAAGAGGGTAGTAAACATGTTTCAGTGTTCTATTGATCTATTAACAAAATTAAAATGTGCATTCCAAAATGTGTCAAGAGAGAGACTTTCTTACAAAAAATAGTGCCATATGCACTAACAGACAAAATGATGACCAGATGAAGAGGTAAAATTTGAGTGATGCATGAGGGTTAAAACATCTTACTTACTACTATATGCTGTTAAATGTTAAATCAATCATACATAAAACATTCACTCATCCTCAGTAAGTAAAAATATCAACATTATGACACACCTTTGACTTCTGGAACAGCATCAGCACACAGAGCTCTCCTAACACATCAGACGCCTGCACAGAGGAGCAGCTGTTAGAATCTATTATACATGAAGCTGCTTTTAACAAAAGACACAGAACGACACTCACCCACATCTTCAGGTCTGCAGAGAGGTAGGACGAACACACGTCGTCTATCTGTGGAGCAGCACACAGGAGATGAAGGAAACACACACACATACACACAGAAAAGAAAGAGAAGCCGCTGCCTACCTGGCTGAGGAGCTGCCTCTGAGCTGTTGTGGTTTGATAAAGTTCTGCTGGAGCGCCTTCAGTTTCAGATAAACACAAACACACACAGAAACACTGTTTTATTATAAGAGTATTCACTTTTGCTGCTTTCGCTGCTGTGAGGATTGTAGCGCAGGACATTAAGATCGAAGAAGTACTTCAGCCCACACCTCACAGACTAAATGGACAGTTGACCACCTTACAGTGCAATATAAGTGTGCAATATTAACCATAAAAACAAAAAACAGTGTCATTATATAATGTGAAAAATATGTGTGCAATAACCTCAGGTGCAATAAGAGATGTAGAAAGTAGAGACAAGAAAACATATTTCTATTTTCATTTCATTGTACAGTGTTCCCCTTTGTTATTTTTTGTATTATATCTTTGCTTTAATACAGTGTATAGCTTCTGTACAGTTTATTTTAATTTACTTAGCTGTAACTACAACTTATTTTTTTATTTTTTTATTTGTACTTTTCTACTCTTTTTTTTCTTATAATACTATTCTATTTTATATATCATTTTAATTTTTTTGTCGAAGCTGAGTCAGGGAGAAACGCACAAGAATTCCAATGTACCTGTACTGTCCTGTACCTGTGCAAATGGAAATAAACATCTATTCTATTCTTTTACAGACAGGACTGTGCTTTACTGTTTGTAAGGTTGATGCTCTGCTTCCACATGAGGATGTTTCTATTTGTAGCATGAAAGCTTTGCTGCATTTTTTAAATCATTGCAATATAAATAAAACCCACATTGAATCCTTTCTTCTACTTTTTTGTTTTGTGCCGGTGCAATGACGAGAAGTCGACAGCATCAGCGTCACTCTAAACCTCTGGAGTCTTGAAGCAGTGATGGACAGTCCACATTAAGGTGGTCAACATGTTTCCATCCTCCCATACTTTTCACATGTTTTTACAACAGTCTCTTTTATTTGAATGACCGATCATCTAAAAGTGGCCAAGCAAAAAATAAATAAAATGTACATTTATCTCATAAGACAGGTGCCAAGAAGAGGAATGAATCCATCTCAGAGTTGCAAGTAAGCTCCTGCACACGGTCTGAACTGCACAACAGCATTGGCAAGCATTACTTAAAGTTCTCGTGTATTGGAGAAATGAAGCCGCTTCGAAGTCGTGTAGTTTACTTTCTGAATAAAATGTTGCTGAGAATGAAAATCATACATGAAATAAAGTGGGAATATGAAGACTGAGCATGCATTCTTTTTCAGTTTGCATGAGTGTTTATCTGTGATTGTAAATGTGTACCTTCTAAGATTGTCAAAATTACAGATACTTCTTGATACCAAGTGTTTTAAAACGATACAATCTTCTATTTAAATGCTCGATAGTCTCAAAAATAATAACAAAATATTAAAAAAAATAAAAATAAAGATGATACAGGTGTGTAGAGGAGGAATGAATCCATTAAACATTGCATGTAGACTCCAGCCCTATGTCTAAATTGCACTTATACATTGGCAACATATGGGAACATATATGTATTTTGGCCAACAGGGCTTCTGTACACAGCCTTTACATTCTCAGGTTCTTCAGTAAGTCTAAGGAGGGAAGGACCATGGTATCTATATTTCAAATTGACATGAAATGGTCCTTGTCTTGTTTCTCTTGTAAATATGATAATACGTCTATGCTTTGTATTTGTATATGTCATTTGTGATACACTATATGTACTTTATTTCACACTATATACTTTATGATTTACTTTGGACTTTGTGGATGAATATTTCATGTTTGCACGTTATAGTTTTAATTTTGAGCTGTGACTCGGGATAATGTTTATTGTGACGATTGGTCATGTGACCATTTGTATTTAATACACCTGTGATTGTGCTGGGCTGAACTTATTTTCAGTGTGTATTGGATTATTGATTTACTTTTCAATTACCAATGTATTATTTGCAATTTCGACAGTGAGCTGAAATTGGAATTGCAATTTTTGATCGTAAAAACAAGACGTTACCCCCCCAACCCAATTTAGGGTGTCTATAGGACTTCTATGTTTGTTGCCATGGCATCAATCCAGGCATTGCTATGGTTTAGCAGTACCAAATTGAAGTTTGAAATGATGGTATTGTGACAGCCCTATAGTCCACGACCACACACATCTTAGGTCAAAGAGTGGATCATGGAGTCAGACGCTTCAGATGCTTGATGATCGATGCTTTGAAAGAGTCCCAATCTTCAAATTATTCCGATCGATACTCAGAATAATTATATTTTTTGAGTCTGCAGCATGCATATGTGAAGTGAAAAACATAAAATCACAACATGTTTAATAGAGTTTTTATATTTAAATATGTCAGAGGTCTTGAATTGATAACCTCTATCTCATTCGATCTGCATGATGTTTACTCTCAAAAACCTCCTGTCTGTTTCAAAGATTGTTGTACATCTATATTTGTATTCTAATTATTTTTAAATATGGTACTCTAAAAACTCTTCATATTTATCTTTTCTTAAGAGAAAATGCTTAATTCTTCAGATGTTCTTACATGAGGTTTTTGATAAACATCTTTTGATGTATAGTTTCATCTGTGTGGGATATGTTTACTGTGGATTTTGTGGTGCTGTAAAGCCCTTAAAAAGCTGCTGTAGCACCATCAGCTGTTTCAGGATCATTAGAGTGATTCTATCGACATAAATTCAAACATTTAACAATTTATTAACACGTTTTTGTTCTTCTCAAGAAAATAAGCCAAAAACATTCTGAAAAACATAATGCTTTGGAATTGTGTATTTATTTCTTGGCGTCAGACACATTGTAACCCAATTTTGTAATTATTATTAGAATTTATTGATTTTTCCTTTGTTGTATTTTTAAGTGTTTCCATCTTAAATGAGACATCACAAGTACATATATTGAATAACAATTGTCTGTGTTTGGATTATGTCATTTGGATTATATCATAAGAATCTTCTTTTTTTATCAAACTCAAACACTTTCTAATCTTAAGGTTCTTTTTTCCCACAGTTTTTCCCACAGTTGTTGAGGCTGCAGGTTGTCTTGTGGTTTTTTGTTGTATTGTTTCAGTCTTTGATTTGTAAATCTGTTCTGTTTGATTTAGCTTCTATTCATCACAAACTGATATCCTTCATTTAAATCACATCCATACGTACATTGCTCTTTTTTTATTTTGTCTAATACAACGCATACTTGAAAACACTTTAGTTCAACTCCTGGTGTTTTAAATGTGCTCTATAAATAAAGTGAATTGACTTTATTGTACCAAAATAAAATACAAATATATATAAGGAGTTCATCAATGTCCTTACACAGAGACAACAAAAACAATAAAGCTAAAGATGTGATGTAAACTTTTGAATCATAGATAGATAGATAGATAGATAGACAGATAGATAGATAGATATCTTACTTGTGCAGACGGGGACGCAGAGGATGAGGAGCGCTGTGAGGGTGATGCTGGCCGGGCTGAGGGGACTCATGGCTCCGCTGCTGCTGCTCACACTCTGCGCGCTGCTGGAGGCTCCGCGCGGCATAGACTGGATCTGAGTTTGCATCCTTCTTCTTCTTCTTCTTCTTCTTCTTCCACTACTACTACTACTACAACTACCTCTTCTTCTTCTCTGTTTGTTTTGTTGCTGTCCGCCCGACTTCTTGCTGTTCTGAGAGTTTCAGTCCGACGTTAAGAGTAATATGAAGGCTCGTGGCACAAACCCTCCCTCGCGCGCATATAGTTGACTGCGTCATTGGGAGGTCCGCTGGGCGCGTGAGAAGTAATTGGAGGTGTGATGGATTGACTAAACATCAAAATAAAGGTGTGTGCTGCATTAATGATACACGAGTATTAATTAGTGACCACTGCACCTGTTGTTTATTTTATTTATTGTGCTTAATTTTTATTTTAAACACCAACACAGCTATCAGGGCCAGAACTCCCTTAAAAAAATATGAGATACCGTTTTAAGAATTTAAAATACCTGGTTTAATAATGATTAATTTATGATTTCAACTTCAGTCAGTAGCTGTATTGACACCACACTTATCATTGCAGCCTGGAATCAGTCCTTAAAATCTGGCCCACAATCATCTTGTGTAGTAGGCACTTGCTTGCCAGAGCATGCTTAACTTGACCATATTTGGCCCCACTAAAGATTGTATGCAAGGTGTATATAACCACCTATAAATATATATATATATATAGGTGCAATAACCGCCACATTGTAGTTCCTTCACTGTCCACTTGAGGCTGCCTCCAAATGTGAGTCAATCCCTATAGAACCCCATGTCCAAATTTCCAACTCTACAGTAGAAATATACATTTTTACGACCTGGTGTGAAAAATGTTGCTTTTTTTTTAGCTCTTACCTCTGTTCATGATATCTATTCTGGCTGAAATGTTGAATATCTCACCATGCTGCAGACGTGGTAACCAATAACATAACTTATAAAAGGCCAAAATAAAAATAATTTAAATTTCAGTTTATGCTATGGTTATGGATATTTTCACTTTTTTTACCTTGATGTCAGACAGGCTGTTTCTTTGCATCATGTTTCTTTTTCAGTACAATGACAAAGTTTATTTTTCTGCCCTGTAGTATGCTTCAGTCAGAAAATGCTGTGGCCAGCACACACTCAAATCAAACCTTCAGTTTGTGAAGATACCAGTTTCTTGTGACCCCATCTGCAGTGGTACATGGTATGAGGTCTTGTAGGGCCCTGGTCTGACATCATGTTGGCTACATCTCTACTACACCCAATTTTCCTGTGACATCAATAAAGTTGTATAGAAGTATTTGAGCTTTACAACAAAAACATCTATACACCTCAAGGAACCTGGTCTAAACAAAATGAGCAAATAACAACAACAGGTTGTATGACGGCCAATAAGAGACTGATTGCTAGCTCACTGGAAAGAAACAGGAACACTGAATCATGATTTATTGCTACATACATTTCTGGAGACTGTTTCAATGGAAGGTGCAGCCTCTAACCTGGTTGATGAATATAAGGAAGACCAACACATATGGAAAGACATTTTGGACATTATAAAGACTGTGCCTATATTCCCCACACAAAGACAGACAGTGCAAGCTATGTAACCAGAAAACAATATTTCCCTAGGTACACCCTCTCTTCACCCCTCTATATGATATATACTTCCTCTGTGACCTCCTGTGCTTTTTATTTAACCTTATGGTGCTTTTTGGTTGTTATTGTTTTCTGTCTGTTTTGTTCTCTATGTCATTTGTTATTTGGTATGTTATGTGGCAAATGTCTTACAAAATGAAAAAAAAAAATCAGTTCATGCGTAAGCTGTCTTTAAAGTGCAACTTGAATAAAAAATGTTGGCTACATCCATGGGCATCAGAAGTACAAAAAATGTGGGTGGGACAATTAAATGTGTGTTCTGAGGGTCCTCCCCCATAAAACTTTAGTAGATGTCTTGTGTTGCATTCTGTTGTATTTGAACATGTTTTGACCTTTTTTTTAATCGCTGTAGCGAGACACATTTGATCATTTGATTCAGATGAAAGTGGTCGCCCCCATCAGCTTATATATTAGAAAATATTAGAAAGCTAAAAGTATATAAATGTAGTCGAGGAATATATCAGAGGATCTCTTTATGCTTGCACCCTTTTTCTTGTATCATCACAGATTAACACAAATACATTTGAATAAAAATGGACATGTGGCCATCTAGCCACAAGTATCTGGAATCTGGAAGCAACCTGCAAATATTGACATTTTAAAGTCTTACATGTTTTTCTTTGTACAACAATGTAGTGCAATAATAATAATAAAAAAAAGCAACCCACAATAATAAGACTGCAGAAGCTTCAGTTTGAGGTTTACATTTGTGTCTTTGCTCTGACTTTGTATCTTCTGTAGCTTTATGTTGTGTGGTTTGAATTATGTATTTTAAGTATGGATGAAATTTAATGCAATTTTCTGCATCTTCAGTGGGTCTTTCCCCTCCCCCCTCCCTACAAGTTCATCTCAGAGAAACAGCTGCTCTTCTTTATGCTATACTTATCTTGGAAGGCCAGCACACACTCGTACACTCACCTCCTATATGTTGTTTACCTTACAGTACTACCTGTATACACTATAAATCATTTTCATCAATCCAGTAATGCTCTTCTTTTCTGCTCACTTGAAGTGAATATGAGGGCAGCGACCTCAGAGCATGATGTATCTTCTTGTAAATAAACAGTTTTTTATACATTCAATTATATTGTGTCCTGATTTCATTCTTTACAATAACCGGTACTAAGTATTTGAATGAAATAAACATATTCTTCAAACATCAAGTCATCAGTCTCTTCTTTTGTTTGTCACTTTTTGCATTTTTTTTTTTTATTGTTTCTTGCAAGTATTTGTTTTTTTCATTTTCCCATTTTTCTCCTGCACTGTACATATTGCTGCGCTTGATTTTTGTAAATAAATTCACCTGCACTGCATTTTTTCCTCCTCTTTCATTTCCATTCAACATCTGTTGTTACTATGACAACAACAGATATTCTGCCCAAAGTCACCAGTTAACACGGTCACTCTTCAAACTCTAACACCGGTGTAGCCGGACTACTCAATAGACAATTTTCAAATCTTAACTTTAACTTTAAAAAATGTGGGAGACCCCAGACATACGGACAATTTGAACCAGTTTTGAACATTATAATCCTCCGACAAACACACTAAGAGATTCCGCCAGAGGATTTCACAGTGGAGATTCCACCGACACAAGATCTCATATAAACTCATGTGCTCAAACAGAACTTTATGTTTGCTGCCATGTTTGTGAGCTGGAAAAGTGCATGTGGTTAGTAGCGCTTCTTGGTTTGCTCACTCTCATCGGAGGAGGCTCTGACTTGATCGGAAGTGGTAAAAAATGGTTTCGGCACCAAACACTCGAGGATTATTTGGTAGCGACAGAATTAAATAAGAACTGATGCATGCCACTCAAGGCTTCCATAATAACAAATCAAACTGCAGCTGTTTTAAGTAAGCTTTAGGCATCCAAAGTTTATGAAAAGAAAGGTCACCATCTTGGCCAGAAAAACTATGAAGGCTGTGATGGCGTCTGATTCGACCCACTGACGCGTATAGTGCTGTCTTCCTGTGGATTACATTAAGTTTGAAATTCGTGCTGAATGATTATCTCAGTGAGAACTTGACTTATTTTAAAGTTTTATAGGCTCAGGTTTTCTCAGGTTTTAATGATGTGATTTAAAAAACATTTCCATATGATGTCGTGTGTCTCACCTCAGCTCACCCTCTGACGGACGATGTTATTTCACGCTTGAGCCTCACCGAAATGATCCGCAATAACAAAAATGATGTAATGTGGTATTTTAGGGACATCACATCTGGTTCTCATGATGACGTGTTTATGTTATGAAATTCATATCATGAACTCTGCCACAGTGACACATTTGTTTAATGAGTAAGACAGCTGTCCTGCTAAATGAAGACATTAAAATTGTCTTTATTGTGTTATTAAATTTAAGTCACACATCAGCAGCCACAATGACTTCAACCAAAGCGGGAGATTACATTCACATCCTACTTTGAATTTTGTTTTTACTTCAGAAAGACACTTATATGTTTCCACTGTTCTACAAAGCAGTAAATCATTTAGCAATATTACAAATCAGTTTAAAGGTAGAGTCAATTCTACAATTCACTTAGTAGACGCTTTTATCCAAAGCGACGTACATCAGAGAGTAAGTACAACACAAGCAAGGATCTAGAAAAAAGGGAACAATGTCAGTAAGAGCAAACGATCAGCTTTGAGTCTGATTGGACACACAGGTGCTGACAGGAAGTGACCAGAGGCAAAGCACAACATTGAGGGCAGTTCTTGAGAGCTCTAATCAGTATAGAAACCATCTTATAAGTCATCGTTATCAAACAAAAACCATCGTCGTTACCATCATCATCATCAATAATATGGAGACCATCATCATTAAGTTAGTAGGTATTCATGAAAGAGCTGGGTCTTTAGCTTTTTCTTAAAGATGCAGAGAGACTCTGCAGATCCAATGGAGTTTGGAAGTTCATTCCACCACCGGGGGGCGACAGAGGAAAAGAGTCTAGTCATCGTCTTAGGAACCTGTTGTGAAGGTTGGAGGTTCACCCTCGTTTTGGAACGAGCATTGTCCGTCTGGCTTTTCGCCTCACTATGATTGTATTTTCTCGTCTTTGCCACTACGTCTGCGTCCGCAATATCTGCCAGTCTGAAAGGCGTCCAGTCATTAAAGTGTCACCTGCCCGCTATCATTGGCTCGGGGTAACACACCAGCTCCCTACCCAGAAATGTCCGGAGTCAACCAAAACATCCAAATACAGGAAGAAGAAGACAGGGTGTCTGCAGACAGTCACCACCACACATGATTGGGCAACATTACTTTTGTATGAGTCTTTATTTGACTTTTTAGAAAAATGCTACTGACTAGACTCTTCTCCTCTGTCGCCCCCCGGTGGTGGAATGAACTTCCAAACTCCATTGGATCTGCAGAGTCTCTCTGCATCTTTAAGAAAAAGCTAAAGACCCAGCTCTTTCATGAATACCTACTAACTTAATGATGATGGTCTCCATATTATTGATGATGATGATGGTAATGACGATGGTTTTTGTTTGATAACAATGACTTATAAGATGGTTTCT